TTTATACCACTTGTTTTATATTGGCCACAGTAGAGTCAATATTTGCTTTTAAGGATTTTCTGTTCTATGACTCTATAAACTTTTTAAGTTAGTACCTGTTATGTGAGTAAGACATTGATTATTAATCAAGATATAGAAGTGTGGACCTACCTTTTCCAGTATCTTGCATATGTATTTTTTGTTTGTTTTTTCTTATTTACATTTTTTTATACTTTAGTTTGTTTATCCATAAAATTGGGTGTAATATGACCTCTTTTGCTTTCTCTTACAAACTTTTGAAATAGCCTTCACATTTTGTTTGCTGGAGATAATGATTTTAGCACATAGAATAATACTAAATTCTATTTAATGCAGTTCTCTTTATTGCATAGAATTGTACAACAGCTTTGTAAATGATCCTAAATACCTAGTCTACCTCTCATTTTGTCAGTGAGGAAACAGGCTAAGTGAGATGAGTGAGTTGCCCAAGATGTCATGACTTTTCAGTGTTAATCCGCAACTGGAAAACCAGTTCTCTATCCTGGGTTACATCATGTTAAGGTTGAGCTAGTAGGAGTTTTTGGAGACACAGACTTGGATCTGAATGGTGGCCATCCTGTTAGCTGTGTGTGACTTTGGAAAGTTACCTTAATCTCTCCAATCTTTGATTTGTTAATCTGCCTAAAATTGGTGCCATTTATAAGAAACTTTATCAAGAGCATTAATGAGCAATAATTTGCTTGTTTATTTTTAAAAAATTTTTATTCATTTTTAGAGAGAGTGGGAGGAAGGGAGAAAGAAAGGGAGGAAAACATTTCTCTCTGAGAGAAACATGGATCGGTTGCCTCTCTGGCCTGCCACCCAGGCATGTGCTCTGACTAAGAATTGAACCAGCAACCTTTTTTGCTTTGTAGGATGACAGTTAACTGACTGAGCCACCAGAGCTAATTTACTTGTTTAAAAATTATTAGCACCTTAAGGAAAAAATTCTATTAGCACAAGCCCCTTTAAAAATCTTTATTTTTAGAACCAGTGCTGTATTTTTTATTCCCAGTAAAGTCATCTTTGGGAGGCACCAAGCCTTAGAGAGAGACATTGTTTTACTTAAAGGCTCTTCACCAAAATTTGAGTGATAATCTGTGGTGATGGTTTTTGTTGGTGATTCAATTGCCTTTTTTATACCCGAAGGTGTTTAATATTTTTATTTACTATTGGAATTGGCCCAGACTGTTTAACTTGATTAATCTTGTTTATACCAGTATGGAAAATGAAATAGTTATTTGATCTCAAAAATCTCTTTTAGTTCTGACATTTCTCTAGGGTAACACCAATTGTAAAGATTTGGAGAATAGCATTTCCCTGAATATAATTTTGTTGTTTGATTTTTCATTTTCCCATTCTTGCCAGTATATCTAGGAGCTTCTAGAAAGAAAGTTACTGATGGGTGGGCATCAAGAGAAGGATTTGTAAGTGGGATTATGATTGAAAAAAATTGATGCTTTATAAATTCAGAGCAGCCCTGATGCTCCATCTTCCTGCTTTGGAAAAAAAGATAATAATAGTAATATTAATAATAATACTAATAATAGCTGACATGTAATTCTCACTATGTGTATGGCACTTTTCTTAGCAATTTACAATTTTTGGCTCTTTTAAATCTCACAACAGCCCTCTGAGGCACTATTACTATTCCCAGTTTACATGTGAGAAAACTGAAGCCTGGGAAGTTAAGTAACTTGCCTGAGGTCCATACAACTAGCAAGTAATAAAATAGAGCTAGAATTTGAACCCAGTCAGTCTCACTTAGTAGTCCGCTATATGGCCTAATTTGTGAGAGACTGAGTAAATATTTTGAAAATTGAGATACTTACCTACTTGCACTCCTTTTGCTAGAGGGGTAAACTCCTAGCAGGAGTCTGACACATTGGGGATATCAATTAATTCAACAGATATTTACTGAGCACCTGCTTTGTGCCAGATACACCAAAGTAAGACAGACAAGGTTCTTGTCCTCAGGGAGCACATGTCCCGGGGGGATATCTGATAATAAACAAGTAAGCAAATAGACATGATGGTTTCAGATTATAATCAGTACTGCGAAGAAAAGAACTACTGTAGTAGATTGCGGGGATGGGGTCCCTTGTGTGCGTCACACCACTCTTAGTGTCTCATAGATTTCATACTGTTGAATTCTGTCTCCCAGTTTTGTCTAATTATTGCACATCTGCTGAACTAAAGAAGGATGTTCGATACAAAAATGAATTTATTATGCAAATCTTCTGAGCTGTTTTTTATATTCTCTTGAACTTGTAATTTGGAAGTATGTTTTATTGCTGAAGAAATAGAACCAAAGAGAAATATTACTTTAAAAATTTCAAAAAAAAATTACAACCAAAATAAGGGAGTCTCCAACCACATGCATACCAGGCTGTTGAGCTGATGGAGCAGTTCCTTGCTGTTGTGCCTAGTGCACTATTGGCAGTTCTGTTTTTGTTTGAAAGTTGAGGCCACTGTGTGTCAGCATATGTATTGTCTTCCTGCCTTTTTATAGGGTTTAGGGCAGGAGTCTCAAGTCATACATGTTACTTGAAAGGAGTTCTGATGTCTTCATGCTTTATAATAACAGTTTTTATATTGAGTACTCCTGTGTACCAGACTTAATTCGTCATTACAGGCTTACTTGTTTTCTTTGTGAAGGAAGAGGAGAAAGCTTTAAGGAGTTCAATACTTGTCCAAAGTCACACAGCTAAAGAATGTTAAAGCCAGGGTTAAATCCAGGTTTGTCTGACACCATAGTTTATGTGATCTTGCCTTTTAATAGATTGGTTTTCATGGCTCAGTCACACTGAAAAATATATGAGTCTTCAAAGTTGAACTTGAAGGAGCCCCCTTAACTTTATCCCATGAAAAAAGACAATGAAGTCTTCAGGTTTTCTAGTTCCAAATTTCTACAGTAATTAGATTTCAAAGAGCAACTAGTAGAATGGAAAGTGCTTCACAACAAGTATGTGTGTGCAAAGGTGGTATGTTCCTGGCAGCCCGCTGCTTTCACTTTCAGTCATTTAATACAATTGGTTTAGGAAAATTATTGACTAGTTCGTAAGGTGTTTTTTTAACGTTTCTGAGCTTTTTACTGGATTTGGTGTTTGTCCATCTTACTGCATTGCATCTAGCCTTTAATTTGGTACTGTTCATTATTATTTAATAAGGTCAGCCAAGTTCTTTAACCTTAGGGAAAGAGAGTACATAAACTATAGCTTCCTGACTGGCCTAACTGTTTAATTTCCACAATTTTACATTAAATCATTGTGATGCTCTAGCTTAGTTTTTGTTATCCCAAACCCCTAAAAACCTTTCCATTATGACTTTTGAGTTAATTTTATTACAAGTTGTTTTCATTTCTCTTTCTAGTACCGCGTCCAATTTGGTATCCACTAGATGCATGTGTTAAGCACTTCAAATGTAGCTAGTCTAAATTGAGATGTGATGTAGGTATAAAATACACACTTAATTCTGGAGACGCAGTATGAAAAAAAGAATGTGGAACGTTTCAATTTTTATATTGATTACATATTGAAGTAATATTTTAGATCTATTGGGTTAAATAAAAATATTAATAAAGTCATTTCATGTTTCTACTCTTGTTAGTGAGGTTACTAGAGATCTTGATAAATGGGGCTTGCATTTACCAGGCAGTGTTAGAATTTGGGATCAGTAACATCGAATCAGTTCTACACTGTAAGAATTTACCAGGAATTAACCTGGAATATCCATATGTGCTGTGTCAGTTTTTTAATTCTTCAAAAGTCTAAAACTCACCTTATTAGGTAGTTAATTATAATAAAAGTGTTCACTTAAATACTTGGACGTGTTGCTTGAATAACAAAGTAGATACGTAAGCTCCCTGTGACCCTCCCCACCCCCCATGGTACAGCTGTTGCTAGGGGAGGTGTGATTTAGAGCTTTCATTAGGATAATAGGTGAAAGAAATAGAAAAGCTATTGAAAATAATTAGTTTAATGTGATAGTAGTAAATGCCTGTTACAGCTTTAATGAGTCAGACATTTCTTTTTATGGGAAAGCATAAACTACATTGATTCTTGTTTGAGATATTTTTTAATAGTTAAATATTTTGAAACAAAACTGAAAAAAAAGATGTTTCTCGGTCTGCAATTTATTTTTCTGTATTGGTGAACTTTATTTTTTGTCCTTGCAAATTCATGTTAGGAAGCTGAATTAGATTATTTTAACTTTTTATATATTCTTAAATAAAATTTAAAATTATTTTATAGTTTTTAATTTTATTATTTTTATTTTATTTCATTATTTTATTAATAGATTTAATAAAATCTATTAATAAGCCCTGCAGCATGTCTGTGTATAGTAAATATGAGTAATTTATCTGCTTACTGTTGTATTACAGTTAAGTCCTCACTTAATGTCATCAGTAAGTTCTGTGATTTTAAGTGCAATGATGTGTAACAACCAGTTTTACCATAGGCAGATTGATAAAAACAGGAGTTAAGTTTCTGTGGCATCTCATCAGTGCAACAAAGAAATGATGCTATTTGAGGACCTGCCATATTCTGAAGGAGCTGTTAGATTAATTGGAGTCTCTGTAAACTGACTCATAAATGACTTCATAGTTCTTAATTTTTTAAATCATAAGATACTAGTATCAAGGTCATATAGTTAAATGTGGTCCACAGTTTAAAAACTTTTGCTCAGATGTTAGTATTTGACTGGTTACTTGAGGTCCCTGTTTGTTCTTCTAGGCACCTCTTTGCAGTAGATATGTTTGTGTTGGTCAGCTGTCTCTAGTAGCCAGGGAAAAGTGTGCTGAGGCACAATACCTTTATCACCCTGTGATTTACCTCCCAACTTTGTTTACTGGTAACACAGCCAGGGAGAAAGTGAACCAGTGATATGTTCTTTGAATGACCTGTTTAAGGGATTATTCTGCTAAGGTTCTACTTTCTTATATATAACACTCTTAATATATTTTAATGTTAACTTTACAGACCCTTCTGCTGAGGAATTGAGAAAGCTGATGATGTTGCATGGTGGCCAGTACCATGTATATTATTCCAGATCCAAAACCACACACATTATTGCCACCAACCTTCCTACTGCCAAAATCAAAGAACTAAAGGGGGAAAAAGTAATTCGGCCAGAATGGATTGTGGAAAGGTAAGTTTAATTTTTAATTTTTAAGTTTGAAAAATTGGAATACATTTTATTCTATTATAGACACTAACATTGCCTCTAAACTTAAGGGTGAAAAGTAATTGATGTTTTAAACAACACTGCTGTATTCTTTATAAACTCACATTGATAATTCAGGTGGCCATAGGATTTGACATCCTATCAGAAGTACTACATTAGTGTTCCTGGAACCTCACCTACCAGGAATTAGGGGCAATGACTGAGGTAAGCAGCCGGACGTAGTAATAGGAGGAGGTAGACTAAGCAAGTTATTCATTTGGCAAATATTTGTGCACCTATTAGGGGCTAGGCAGTGCTTCCTGTTTGGAATTAATTTGTTGTAAATCAGTGGTAGCCATTCATATTGGCTTTCGAAGTTTAAATGTGTCATCTGGAACATTGGCGGTGAGTCGTAACTTAAGTGATTTTTATTTTGAAACAATAATGTTATATGAGGTTTGTTCGGAAAATGTCCTGCCATTGTTACTATAACGAGAACAGTTTGCGTGACGTTGGTGTAACCTGGCAGTGAAGGGGAGTGGACTGGAATGCACATCCATGAACAATGATGACTTGACTGTACTACTCAGTGGGGGCCATAGACACTGTTGAGCGAGCATGTGTACTGTGTGGCCGTTGCATTCAAAATGGCTGAGCCAGTAGAAGGTTCAGAGCAATGAATCTGCATCAAATTTTGCATTAAGCTTGAACATTTTTCCATGAAAACTATTTGGATGATTCAGAAGGCCACAGCTATGGGCAACTGGTGATTGACAGCTTCATCACAACGACGTGCTTGCTTCTGCATCATATCTTGTGCAAAGTCCTTTGGTGAAACATCGTATCACCCAGTGACTCAGCTCTCCTGCAGCCCAGATTTGGCACCCTGTGACTTCTGGCTTTTCCAAATATTAAAATCACTTTTGAAAGGGAAGAAATTTCAGACCATTGATGAGATTCAAGGAAATGTGACGGAGCAGCTGATGGCAATTGGGAAAACTGTGTGAGGTCCCAAGGGTTCCTACTTTGAAGGGGACTGAGGCGTCATTGTCCTATGTACAGTGTTTCCTGTGTCTTGTATCTTCTTCAGTAAATGTCTCTGTTTTTCATATTACATGACTGGATAATTTCTGGACAGACCTTGTATATATGAGTGTTTGCTAGATTTATGAAAGTGAAAATATTAAAATCATAATTGTATGAATAAGTCGATTATAGATATTGTATAAAAGAGTGGTGAGATAGTATGGAGTGCTAATGAAACAGATGTTATTTTTTTAGTACTTTCCATGAATTTATTTATTCAGCAGATTTAGTATTGCTCAGTTCCTTTGTATAGCAGATATAGCAGCACAGATTCAGTGGGCGGCAACATAGAATAGTGGAAAACCCTGTGTTTGGGCTCTGGAGACACACTGGGGTTCACCTCTAAACTCAGAAATTAAATTAAGTATGCCTGTCATCTTGTGTAACTTTGGGAAGAGTCATGCAGTCATTCTGCATCTGAACTCCATTTCCTCGTTTGTAAGTGAAGGCTAATATATACCTGCTGTGGTTATGTGAGAATTAGAAATAATTTATGCAAACTAGCTCAACTCCTGGCGCATTGTAGATGCATAATATGGAAGGCGTAATTGTTGTTTTTTAATTTTTATTCTAAAAACATTAGCAAGTATTAAAAAATAAATTCCCAAAGGTCAAAAGGGTGTTTCATTTTTATTCATTTAAAAACATTTTTTTAAATTTTATTTATTGATTTTCAGAGAGAGAGAGAAACATCAATTTGTTGTTCCATTTATTTATGCGTTCATTGGTTGCTTCTTGTATGTGCCCTGACCAGAGATCAAACCCACAACCTTGATGTGTAGGGACAATGCTCAAATCAATTGAGCTGTCCCACCAGGGCAAAAGGGCATTAAAAAAAAAAAAAAATGCACTTGGGTTCCAGAAAGCCAGATGTATTTTACAGATTATGGGTTTTTTAAGCCCTAGGGGATTGATGAAGGCCCATACCTAGATCATCTCACAGATTTTTTGTGTTGTGGTCTCATGACCTAGCCATTGTCCATTCTTTGTATTGGATCAGTGAACACGGCCTTTAGCTGTGTGTCTCCTTAAAAAGGAATTGTCAAGTTTTCAGTGTAAGAAGTTAGGATCATCCCAGAAGTTAGCCATGTATTGTTGCATACAGACATTCCAATCCCATCCTTGTGCCAGGGCTAGGAGTTTGATGTGGGAATGTTTGTTTGGCTTTGGGGGATGGGGTATGGGTTAGCTCCATGGACAGTAGGAGAGTGGAAGTGAAAAGGACTCTTACTGGGCAGGACTTGATTTGCTGAGAAAATGGTGGTTTTCATGACAGCTGTTTTCTTTATACATGCTCTTCCTTGCCGTGAACGCAGCTAGAAAGGTAATATTAGGTTGGCCAAAAAGTCCATTTAGCTTTTTCTGTAAAATAAAAGACACATTTTTCATCTTCACCAATAACTTTATTGATTTGGATATTTTGAGTATGCCGGCTATCTCCCACTATTGGCTTCTAGTAGGTAGAGGCCAAGGGTGCTGCTGAACATCTTCCAATGCATAAGACAGCCCCACAGCAAAGAATTATTGGCTAAAATGTCAATCGTACTAAGAAGCTCTGCAAACCACTTTTGACATGTTCAGTCAGTCACAGCACCTACTCCATACACTGCACAAATCTTTTTTTTTTCTTATTTTGGTTGTGTTTTTACATTTCTCGAAATAATAAAACACAATATGCCAAAAATGTTGTGTATCTTCTTCCATCTTCAATATTAAAATGGCTGCACAAAAATTCACCTCTTTTGATAGGTTTTTTTTTTTTTAAATGCATGCTGCTAATTGCAGCTGACATAATACAGTCTAAGAAAATTGTTTCAAGTAAAGTTAAAGACAATTAAGCACTACTAGAGCCATCTTACTGGAAAAAAACTAAACAAACTTTTTGACCAGTCCCATACAATATGAAAAGTAATTGTAGGAATTGTAAATTTTAAAATTTACTTTAGTAGATTGTTTTAGTTTGAAGTCAAATTTAATCTGTTTTTTAATAACTGAAATGAATTTGGATATTGTGATTATAGGGTCTGTTTGCTTCATTTTGTATATTAGAAGCCAGGTCTGATAAGGTTAACCAGTTTGCCCAAGCACAGCAGGATTCAGAGTCTAGATTTTCTGACTCCTATTTGGGGCTGCTCTTTGCCGTTTAATTAAGCTTGTGGGCATATCTTTATACATAAAATAAATGCCTAGTGTACACTACTGTATCATAGCATGGAATCCTTTTGGTTAAATCAGAGTACTCTTTTCTTTCACACCCTAATCTCAAGTCTTGTTTATCTTTTTTCCTCAGCGGTGTTTTAATGAGACTTTTTAATACTTAAAATTTGAAACATTTTATTAGCAACTTAATGGATGATACATGATACTCTTTTCTATAATTAGCTTTCTTATTTTTAGTTTGGGCAGTTTAAATAGCAACTACCACTTCTGAGTGTGTTTAGGTGATTACTTTGCTCAGATTAGAATCCCCTGGTGTCTGTGTCTGTGCCATGAAACCTGAGTCAGTGTACGTACACGATTATAGGACCATGACTGCTAAGGGGCAGGAAAGTCCTGTGTGCATTAGTGTAAGGTACGAGATTATTTTACTGCAGCCTCCGCCTTGTAAATCCTACACTTGCTTGTAGTATCAGTGATTTTCAAATTTTTGCCATATTCCTTTTCTACAGACAATTTTTTAATTGAGATTTGAAGTGTACAATAGTTAATAAGATGCTGCTGTGATTCACCTCACTGCCTCATCAAGCTGTGGAGTACCATGGAACACAGTTTAAGAACATTGTCCTAGGTTTTGACAGGCTGATACTGTTTTTGTTATTTTTCATTCTGTGTTGAGTCTTTTTAGCATGGGAGCCTGCCACCCTCCTGTGGTTAGGTTCTCGTATTTTTACTGTGAGTGTAGAATATGGTCTGCATTGTTCCAATTCATGCGTACTCACCTGGGTCTTGTAATGGGAGTGACTGATTCTCTGTAGAGGTTGTCCTTTCTTTTTAAGCTCCCAAACTATAAAATGTTAGCATATTTGTCGTATCCTCAGATACTCTGAAGATATCATACTTCATATGGACTAAAACTTTGTTTCTAATTATATTTGATATAAATACTAGAGTGCTTGTTTAACTCAAATAAAACTTGATTACAACTTTACCTGTCATGATTTTTCATTTCTCTTGTGTTTTTGTGTCTTGCTTCAGTTTATTCTTCATAGAAAATGTGCATGACTCTAATTTCTGGTATGAATTTGGCTTTTTAAAAAAATTATAATCTTGGTGTCATTTATGTTTTTTCCTCACAGCACTACAGAATTCTTCTAAAATTATTTTTTACTTGGCTAACTAACCAACACACACATTTCAGACTACCCCCCACTGACTTGTAGGTAATATTTTATTGGAAAATACATTCTTGGTCTTTAGAAGCTAGAGAATGAATAAATGTAACACTCAGTATCTGTATAAAAAAACAACATGGACCCTATAGGAGAAAGAGCAAGAGATTGTATACGTATTTTCAGACCTGCTTATTTCCTTTTCTGAGCTATGGTGTTTGGGTGAGTGGTTGGAAAGTTTTAGGTAATGGGGGTGGGGTAAAGGGAGTTTTAATTTTGGTGCATAAAGATGACTTTTGCTTAATGGTGGAATAGGCAAAAACAGCTCAGTTTTTCCTTAGCATATCATTAAATTCTTTCTTGCTTTAAATCCACTTCTGAATATCAAAGAAGATAGATGCTTGAATAGATAGTTGGGTGCATATACCAATGTTTGATACTGTTTTTCTAATAGAGGGTAACTGGGACATTGACTAGAATCATAAGCGCATTTGATGTGCACAATTCATATAAATAAAGTGCTGTTACTATAAGCTAGAAGAAGAAGTTTGGAATAGCAATTAATGTGATGATTTTGTTGTATCTTAATTTTTGTAAAATTTCTCAATCTGGTTATAACTGTCAGCATAAATTCATTGTCAATTGAAAGAAATAGGAAATGATTCAGAGAACTGTTAGATACAAAGTTTTGTTTTAGAGATAACTTTAAGTGGGGCAGGGCTGTAGGACAAAGCAAGGATTAAGACTCCTCAACACAGATTAATATTTCACTTACAGTTAATATGTGCCTGACCCATTGTATATAATGTAAACTCTCTCATGTGTGTATCAAAATATATAAAGCTTCTTTTGGTTTTTAAATTTGGATTTTGATATTTGGCTCTTTTTAATGTAAGAACAGTAGAAAGTGTAGATAGGTACAGTTCCTTTGTGCTCAGGATAAGCAGTGAAATTAGGAACTCTCAGAAATTAATCCCTGAGAGATTTTTTTAAAGAACTTTTAAAAATATACTTAGAGATAATATTTCTGTCTGTATATCTACAGATAAATAAGTGGATAAGTAGGGATAATATAGAGTATGAAACTGATAGATAGTGGTTTGGGCTTCATATTGAAAGGATTTCTTGTGAAACATGTATCGTGCATTGGGCTTTAATTCATTTTACTAGGTGTCTCTGAGGGTGTGTGATTTGAGACCTGCACTGTTGAAATTGGCTCTTATTTTCTATCAGTCTCCATGGACTTAATTATATGAGACTAAATTCTGGGTGACATGGCCCCTGTTAGGGGTGGGACAAGATCTTACACTGTGTGTATAATCAGTATTGGCCATAGAGATCACTTTTAAAGACTTACCACCCCAGCATGCTGTCAGTGGGGTGGGAGACGCGAGCATGATAATAGGGCAGTTTCTCTGTTCATTCATTGCTCTTTGGTTTTACTTCAGTGTGCAACTGGCACATCAGGTGTAGTTTTACTCTCTACTGTTCCTTTAATTACAGCTCTATGTGATGAGAAGGTGGAAGGCTAAGGTTAGAATTCAAACTCACTTATTAAGTACCTCTTCTTCTGTGGTGAGGGAAGCAGGTAAGATAGATAATATTACAAGAAGGGAGATCGACAGTCAGGCAGTTGAGACCAGCTGTTAAAGGAAGAAAAGTTTGATAAAAGTAAATTAATATATGGTCTAATTTTAGGATTTTGATTCTAATATTTGAATATAATCTGTAACCTTGATAAAAGTAACCTACCTGACAGCAAATATTTAGGTAAATGAAAATTGATATGTCATAGTATGTTCTTTACCATCATAATTAGTAGTTTTAGCATTTGGATATAGTATAGGTACTTTGAGTGGAATTATTTAATACATATTGATATAATTACATAAAGGACATAGCCTGTAACATTATATAGTTGCATTTTTAGCATATATCATCACTGTGTTTTCCTATATTCACAGTTGACTCAGTATTTTAAATTGTTTGTTTGGTTTTTTTTGTTAGCCACTTCAGTCATTTCTTACATGTTTGTTATTTCTCTTAAAAAATGTTTTGTGGAGTGTCCTTTGAGAAAATTAAATGTCAGAACTTTTGGATTTATGACACAATAAGAAAGTATATTTTGTCTATTTAGTAATTTTTTCTTAAATAATTAAATATGACTTTTATGTACATTGGAAGTTTAAAGCCAGAGATGTGTTGAGAAATATTTCCTGATAGTTAAGGAACGTGTTTTAAAATTAGGATGTTAGCATAAGTATATTGGTTGGCTATTTTAAAATTTAAGTTAAAAATTATATTTTAAATGGTGTAGTAACCATATATAACTCAACTTACTAGAAAGCAAAAATCAGTTTAAGACAGTTTAATCAAACTAGTTTTTGTTCGGAAGTACAAAGGAATAGGTGTTTGTGAGTGTCAGTTAACGTCCCAGTACTACCTAGTTTTATAACAAGGCTGATGTGGCACTGGTTTTTCCTGGTTATGTTTGATACATAGTGGACATTTAGAAGTGGATATATATGATAGCATCTCCCCTCAGAGAGTTCACATCCTCAAGTAGCCTCATCTCTATCTCTCTTACACACATTAAAACAGTATGAATTATTTATTACTCTTTAAGTTGAGATTCTTTATTTGTCCCATTTTTTAAAATTTTACAGTTTTTCACACTTAATAGACCTGCCTAACATGAATTGTGGAAATTGTGAATCCTCATCCAGTTTACTTGTTCTGGGAAAACTTAACATGTGAGATGAGATTTGAGAAAGTCTTATGATTGTATAATTAACTTGAGGAGAAATTGTGGACAATATTAAAATCAAGATAAAAATTTTAACTAGTCCAGCTCCATGCTTGCAGTTTTTCTTATCATACTGTACAGTTGTTTTTTTCTCATGTAGGATTGTTGGCCACTGGTTTTATTATTTTTTATTTTACTTTATTTTTTTAAAGATTTTATTTATTTTTAGAGAGGGGAGGGGAAAGAGAGAAACATCAATGTGTGGTTGCCTTTCACATGCCCTCTACTGGGGATTTGGCCCACAACCCAGGCCTGTGCCCTGACTGGGAATCTAACTGGTGACTCTTTGGTTTGCAGGCCAGCATTCAATCCCCTGAGCCACACCAGCCAGGGCTGATTTTTAAAATTCAGTTGTGTGTTTTTTCATGGGTGGGAAAGTCATTCTTCAATGCTTAAGTAAGATTATATTGTGTTAGGACCACTGTAATAGAGGGAGGAGAACTAAAGTAAGAAAAATGGCTTGTTGCAAAAATACTCCCATCATTAAGAACATTGATCTTTCATGAAGCTCATTTCTTCCAAGTATTGAATTCTTAAATTGGTGTTACTTTTTTTGTTGCAGCATCAAAGCTGGACGACTCCTGTCCTACATTCCCTATCAGCTGTACAGCAAGCAGTCCACTGTGCAGAAAGGTCTCACCTTCAATCCTGTATGCAAACCTGAGGACCCAGTGCCCGGTCCAAGCAATAGAGCCAAACAGCTCAACAACAGGGTGTAAGTTTGTCTAGAATGGCAATGCTGCAAAGCTAGGTTTTAACAGTGGGTATGGTTCCTGCTCTGCTGAAGGTAGAAACAATAATATAACCTGGTCATTCATGTATGTTAAACATGCTAAAATAGGTGTGTGGGTGTGTTAATTAAAAATTATTTTTATCATGATACCTTCTGCCCTCACAGAATTCATATCCTCATAAATATGAGTTTCATAAGTGTAAACAGGAAAGGTTTTTCAGTCATTTTAGATTCTCATGTTAAACTAATGGATCTTAAATTATTAGAAGTAAAATTTTCCATTGATTTTTCTGAAAGTAATTATTTCCACACTTGAATTTTGCTTTCTCAAAAACTGAATTAACTATGCCAGCTATACTTTTGTTATATGCTACGCATGGAAAAACAATTGACAAAAATGTTAACATTCCCAGGTAATTTTTGAAAAATTTCAAATTCATAACAATTCTAAGTATATAAATATTTTATATAAATGAAAATTTAGTTGGTGACCCTAAATGTTAAAGAGTTAGAGTTGAATCTAGAGTTTATTCTAATTGACTGATTTTTAAAAATATATTGATTTAAGCTTTAATTGCAATAATCTTGGGAAAGTTGGTCTCATAATTAATTGGTATGTTACCTTAACTTATACATCAGTTGGTTCATTATCATCATCAGTCTTTTTATTTGTTAAATTGCTTGCTTTGGGAGTTGGATATGTCTTTGCCAAAAGACCATGAGTGTAACCTAGGAGGATCCAATATCACTGACTTCTGTAGTTTTTCTTGTTGGGGTTTTTTTTTTCCTTTAACTTGTATTCATTTATAAGCAATTCAGGTGCTTTCACATGACCTAAAACTTTTAATTTTTTTAGTACCATGAAGGTGTAAAACAGGTAATACTAGAAAACCTTTTTGAATATATAAATTCAGTTTTTTTCTTACCCACACTAATAAAAGTAGAAAGTTGATGCAGCAGTCTCCCTTTATCCTCAGGGGATTATGTTCCATGACCCCCCAGTGGATGCCTGAAACTGCAGATAGTACCAGATCCTTTACTTACTATGTTTTTTCCTGTATATACATACCTATGATAAAGTTTAATTTATAAATTAGGCACAGTAAGAGGTTAACAATAGTAATTAGTTGTAGAACAAATATAACAATATACTGTAATAAAAGTTAAGTGGGTATGGTCTTTTTTTACTATAGTTATCCTTATGGTGTGAGATGATAAAATGCCACAGTAGTGAGGCTACTCAGGAAGGTACACAATGTAAAACTTACCAGTTGTTTATTTCTGAAGCTTTCTAATATTTTCAAACCATAGCTGATTGTAGGTAACTGAGACTGTGGAAAGTGCAACTGCAGATAAGGGGGACCACTTAAGTGTTTTTTAAAATACTTTGTGTCAGTCTTAGGAAAAATGTACATATTAGATTTTACCTCTTAATATTGTTTACACTGTTGCCTAATAAAGGTATGTTTACTGATTATATATTTCCAGTCCAACTACTTTGTTAAATATCCACTTGTCTAGACTGAAAAACAAAGAATAGATATTTGCAATGGGTTTTCTTGCCAATATATATGCATTTCCATTGTGCACGTTGCTAGTAAAGATGTTAAAGAATCTTAATATTAGAGACACAGAAAAACAGACATTGAGAATTTTCTAACTTGTTGCTTACTGTGATCTTTATTTTTTGATATGTTCAATACATTTTACACATTTCTTCAAAATTCTGTTATGTGATGACTTTTTGCTCCCTTGTTCTCTCTCTAGCTCAGGGGCCAGCCTTCCCCTGACATGTAACAAGTTAGGTTTTCTCTCCCTTCCTCTTTTAACTGTTTCCAGTTGATCGTCTTTTTCCCTTTCACTGGCTTGATCATCTGTGAGGATTGGACCTACGCAGAGTTGGCTGACATATTCCATGAGATGGTCAGCCAGAGCCAACCCAGAAATGGGTGGTAATGTTTTGTATCTGACTCGTGTGACTTTTCTGTGTATTCAGACTGTCATTAATGGTATATCATGTTGATATTAGGATGAGGGACTTCAGATTAAACCTGCTAGTACTGTGGTAATCTCACCTGTGCCTTGGTTCTATATATGATATGGCACCGTCATCTGGAGCCTGAAATCTTATTATGTTAATTCTGTGGACATTTCTAAGAATGAATTATTGCTCCATAGTTCAGGGTTTTGTTTTTTTAATTAGTTGATTTTTGTGAGTGCAAATGAATTTTGTCTTTATTACAGAATTACCTAGCAAACATTTAGAGGAGCCAGGATGTAAATTAAGCATAACATTTATCATAGGTCCTGTATTTATAAATCTGTCGTCAAGAAACTTGGTCCAGATTGCCTTGGACCACCTTGGCATCTAAATGTGCTTTTCTTAAAAATGAAATGCCATTTCCCTGGTTGATAGGGCAAGTGTCCTCATTTTTCTAGATATAAATTTTACTGAATTACCCATACACATTGACCTGGTTTTTTCTTTTTATCCAGTGGGGCAACAGTTAGCTCCATTAATGAATTAATGAAAATGGTCTGTCAGTCTTGTCCTGAGTGAAACTAATACTGGCCTCAGTGTTGTAGCAGTATTGGATTTAATGTGTTGAAAAATGTCTTATATAAAGCTAAAATTAGAAGTAGGAATTAATAACTCAAAGTTTCTTATCCCTTTTTATAGGACTTCTTCAGTATTACATTAATTCAGCAAATATTTATTGACTACCCAGCACATGCCAGACACTGTGCTACATACTGGGTATTTAGAGCTTACAGATTCCAATTAATTTTTATTGGGAAAAGTAATTGAAAATAGTTTTGGATTTTTCTTAACCTTTAAAGGATTCTGTTGTATATCTTTTTGGAGGGTGTCTGAAACTTTAAAAATTGAGGTTTTTTTAGCTGTCAATATAACTAGTTTTCCTGGTTATCTTGCTACTTCGGTTTAGCAAAGAATTATCTTTTGTTGGAAGAAAAAGTAAAAAAGAGGAGCTTAACTTTTCATTTTTTAAGGGGAGAAATATCAAAGTGTTATCACCAAGACATTGTTTAAATGAGAAAAATTGTTTTAGCTTGAAAGTTGGACATTATTAATTTAAGAACATTTTTTTTTTCTCCTTTAGAAATCACATAATTAAGAAGCTTGAGACAGGAAAAGAAGTCAAAGTCAATGGAATGAACAGCTGGAATGAAGAAGATGGAAATAATGATTTTAGTTTTGTGGAGCTGGAGCAGATCGTTCCAGGAAGGAAACAAAATGGAATTCCACCTCACAGAGACAGCCCTGCCATTCTTAATGGCCACACGCATAGCTCTAATGGTGCCTTAAAGACACAGGGTTGCTGGCTGCCCGCAAGCAACAGTGTTGCTAGCAGGCTTTCCACAGACTCTGCCCAGGAAGAGGAGATGGCTGAGAAAAGTAGCACCGACTTTAGAGACTGCAGTGTGCAGTCATTGCAACAAAGCACCGGGAACACAGATGCTTTGCGGAATCCACACAGAACTAGTTCCTTTTCATTATCATCTTTGCACACGAACACTAAAATAAATGGTGCTCACCACTCCACTGTTCAGGGGCCTTCAAGCACAAAAAGCACTTCAGTACCTTCTCTTAGCAAGGCAGCACCTTCAGTGCCATCCAGACCCTCAGACTGCAGTTTTATTTCAGATTTCTATTCTCGTTCAAGACTGCATCACATATCAATGTGGAAGTGTGAATTTACTGAGTTTGTCAATACCCTACAAAGACAAAGTAGTGGTATCTTTCCAGGAAGGGAAAAGTTAAAAAAAATGAAAACAGGCAGGTCTGCACTTGTTGTAACTGACACAGGTAGATACTTACTAAAATTGTTTTCTTAATAAACAACCAGTGTTTGATCATTTTGTTCTTAAGCTGTCATTGTTATTCTGATCAATATTCTCATAAAAGTCTTTGGGAGGACGAGGTTTTGTAAGTTACAGTAAGTATAACATTATAGAAAACATTTATTGAAATATCTTTTACAAAATTAGACTTCAGTGTGGCTAACTGAAATTTTTTAGGTAATTTAAACAGTAACAAGGTTCTCAATATTCATTCCTCATGTAGACTTTTATCAATTGTTGAAGTTTTGGACTGTGTAAAATATAACATGTATTATATTCAGTACTTAAACTCGTGTAAGAATGAATTGGTCTCGTAAGAGTAACTTAATTTCTAAAAGCTTGCATCATAATGATTTTTAAATAATTAACTTTGACATAGCTGTTATGATTGCAGTAGTAAACTTTTGGTGAAATTAAGTATTTTCACATACAAGTGGATTGGTTAATTGTATTTTGTTTTTTAATGCTTCCTAAAAACAACAGAATCAATAACAAGCTAAATTGCTATACCAGTGATCATAAATTAGTATCTGGGTTGAGGTTTTGTTGCTTTTTGCAGATTATACATTTCCAACTTCCCAGGGGAAGGGATCTCTGAGAATATCTAATCTTTAATTTATAGCTGTGGAAACTGAGGTACAGAGAGAAGCTCATGGTTCTGCCCTAGAAAGTGATAGAGCCTCTCCATATGGGCTGCTTCTGTTATGTTTTGCTGTTTGATGTGTTCCTAAATGCTTTTTGTTATTTCTGAAATATTTCAGAATAATGTTATAGGTATTAGATTATCTTGACATCATGCCTTGGCCTTGTAACGTAAAGGTCATTTAATTTTGAAAGCTTCAAAGAATTCTTTTGAATTAGTTCCATAATGGGAATAAAATGAGAAATTTTTATATTATATGAAAACATTCAGTAGGTCTTCGGTCTATGCATTCTGTACTATCTGAATGTTTAAAGGCATTATTTTGGGTTGTTTGCATTATATTTGTATGACACTTACGTAGCAGAATTTGTTAAGGTTTATTTTATAAATCATTTCTCAAGATAATACAGAAGATAGCAAGAAGTGCACAGCTTTGGAGTTAGATAACATAGTCTGACCCAAATCTTGGCTCAGCTACTCTCATGAAGCCAGGACCATGGGCACATCAGTTCATCTCTCTGAGTCTCAGTTTCCTCTCTGCAGTGGAATGATAGTCCATGATGCTCACCTCATGGGGTTAGGAGCTTAAGGAAGGTAATGTGAACAAAGGCTCAGTGCCTTGCACATAGAACTAGATAAATGCTTTCACAGTCACAATTTAGTAAATAGAGTGGTCTGAACCTTTTGAGCTGTAGATGTAAGTTTTTGGAAGCCTATTATGAAATATAACCATCAGTACTAGTATTCTTTTAAATCTACCAGAGGAAAACTCCTTTATGGGATGAGAACTTTTTACAAGCTCAGGATTCTTATTTCCAAGGTAATGTGTCTTAAAGGAGTAGGGAAAATGATAGGATAAGACTGATGTGAAGGGGAAGGCTCTGGCTGTGGCTGGTTTGGAGTTAACCCCAATGAGTCTCCCTGGTAGGGGGATAGAAGCCAGAGTCCTCAGGAGAGAACACCTTTTTCTCCTTAAAAGTGGAATATAAGCTTTAGAACTAATTTCGAACAGTATTTAATGGCATGAGGAGAATTTATACACAGATTTTTGCTGCTTGAACTATTTTTTTAAGTATGTCTGTTTAGAACAACCATGTTGTGGCTTGTGGGCTCTGAAATCAGACTGCCTGGGATTGAATGTCAGCCCAGTCTCTTAACTGGCTGTGTGACTTAAGCAAGTAATTATCTATAAAATGAGGATAGTAAGATTACTTATCTTTCAGTGTTGAAATTCTCACATGTAAATCGCTGCAACAGTGGCTGATAAGTACAAAGCACTCAGTAATAGTAGCAATTTTTATTGTTAATTTATTGAGAAATGTTTGTAGTCTGCATGGAATAGTGTTCATCTGAAGTTACTTAGCTCCATGTAACTAAATACATGAAAAAACCTTTATATTGATTTTAATTGTTCGGAAGCTCAAAATCAGAAACAACTGACTTTAATTGTTTGAAAGTTCAACCTGTATATGAAAGACTCTTAGAGCTAAAGACACTGAAATTTGCCTTTTCTTGAGGTGATAGACATAATCTGTAACAGATTCTTTAAGACTTGGAAGCATTTAAAAATTTTTATAAAATTAACTAGACCTGTTTTTTTAATATTAAAAATTAGTTTGGGGTTTGAACCTTCTCTTTTTCGTTCTAGGAAATATGTCAGTATTGAGTTCACCCCGACATCAGAGCTGTATAATGCATGTTGATATGGATTGCTTCTTTGTATCAGTGGGTATACGAAATAGACCAGATCTCAAAGGTCTGTATTCTTGTTTGTGTTTTCAGAAAATTGATATATTGTTATAAATATATATTCTAAGGGATCACAAAATCTTTAAAAGAAATATTTCTAGTTTTCCTTGGCAAAATCAATTCCTGCTTAAAAATTTTCACTGTCATGAAAAGATATAGGGAAACTAGAAAAGTTTTTCTCCCTGTTGAAATTACCTTCCTAAAGAGGAAGAACTAATCTTCAGCTGAAGGCTCTGTCATATTAGACTAATTTAGGCAAGGACCTGCATTGGACATTTTCCACATTTTTATCTATATTTACTATTTGTCAATAAGTTGGAATTTTATAGTAGCATATGTCTTTGCAACTTGGATCACTATGCTTTCTCTTGAATAAATATCCTATACATAGTAAACATTTTAACTTTTTAGTTGTAATTTTGTGTTACTGAGTATCACTAAAATGTGCTGTCATCTGTGCAGTCTTTTCATGGAATTTCAGATATTTGTGAGCTAATTAGTACTTTAAGAAATATTTCTTGTGGATTTTTCAGTGGTTCTCTGTGTCTGAGAGACGCGACCTTTTATTTGGAGAGTCAGCTCTTCATCAAGGAAAGCACAGGGACTGCAGGGGGTTAATACTGGGCCTTTATTTTTGTCATAAGTAATTACTGCTTCATCTCTGAAAGGAGTATTTAAATGTCAAAGAATTGATTTTTTAGCTCATGAGTGACTTTTCAATGCTTGTTTATTTTTGTCCTCACAACAAATGCATTCATATGTGTGTATTAACTTATGCTGTTGCTTTAGATTAGAAATAACCTTGTAACTTAACAACACAAACACATGGAAGTGAAACATGAAAAATTTTTTATAAATAAACCAAAAACTGAGGACTATATACTTAATATTCAATTATGTAGTAGGTCAGATTGTGATTCCTCTGCATATATATTTATTTTGTGTGTCTTGCTGTAAAATTAGAAGATTAGATATTACCCTACTTTTCTGATAATAGAAAATCTAGATCAGTTAGTTCCTTCTCTCCCTACCCCTCCAGTCTGAATCTAGGATCTGAGCAGCCTGTTTTCTAACTGTAAGAAACCAGACAAAAAATACGGAAAAGCTAGATAATAATGTTGCTTTAAAGTTGAAAAAAATGCATCAAAATTGTCAATTTACTTTTGGGAGTGTGCTGAGAAACTGGAATCATTTGTACATGGTGATTGATAATCTTTAGAGATAATAGCTCCTTTATGCATTAACACCTAAATAAAGCTAAAGAAAAAAATATATTTAAAACCTTTTGAAAACTTTTCCTTTACATGTTGTCAGTGTTAACACTCCTGTACTTAGATTTTAAAATAATTTTATTCTTTTCCTCACAGGAAAACCAGTGGCTGTTACAAGTAACAGAGGCACAGGAAGGGCACCCTTGCGTCCTGGAACTAACCCCCAGTTGGAGTGGCAGTATTACCAGAATAAAATCCTAAAAGGCAAAGCAGGTACAAATAATGAGCTCCCTTTGAAGCCATAGTGCTCCTGTTGAAGACTTCTGGATTTTTCTGTTGATGGTGATGTTACAGAAACAAAAGCAGAGTTGAAATAATTAGCTTTTTCATTTAAGTGTTCTAAGGTGTCAGTGACATCGTAAAGCAAAATCCAAATGTAATAATACCAACAGCTGATTTATAGTTGTGCTTCATGGAATTGGATGGTATTTTCCTGGGACAGGGAGTGGAGAATGTTTTAAAAGTTGTGACTAGTTTGCTGTGTATAAATTTAGATTGGGGAGAGAAATCTTGGACATTGTTTTGTAGAAGCTGCAAGACTTGTGAGTTAATTGCTAGTTGTGTGATCACTGATTACAGTAAAGATGCTAAAGTTCATGCTGCTAAAGAGTTGTATGAGGCATTGGAATAATAAACAGTAGGACCTTAGTTTATTTGAATGAGAAGATAAATACCAGCAACCATTCCTCAAGTCTTTGTTGAACCTATTTCATATGAGAAACATTTTAACTCTCTGGACTTAAAATTTTGACTATTAATAAAAATCATAAACTTATATGAATCACTTTGCTATTAAGATGTTCATGTATTTTTTCTCCCAAGTAAATTTCTTGAGAAATATTTGCTTAGAAATTAAATTCTTTGACATTGATTTATTTCCTCATGGATGTCTGGAAAGCCAATTTTTTCTAAAGTAGTTTGTCTGAAAAATACTATCAAAAAGAAAACAAGAAAGAAACAGAAGAAAAGAAAAAAGGCTAATTAGAAAGTAGTCAGAAATTAGGTTTACGGTGGAGTGGAAGTCATGCAGTTAAATTTCATCCCAATGATTTCAAGGTCCCTAAGTTTTCAGTTATAAAACCTTGGGTTTATTTTAGCAGTGATCTCAGTGAAATGATGGCCAAAGGAAAGCTAGTGGACATCCCTGAGGACTTTTTGGGGATTAGTCTTTTTGTTGGTTGTGGTCATCTGTTTACATGGTGTAAGTATAAAAGAAAATTATTGTAGATAATTTTTATGCTTCATGTGTGTCTGTATTTTCCAGAGTCCCTAAAACTTTTCTTGGTCTTTCCATCTTTTAACAGATTTTGATATTCTAGTATTTCGGGTGTCATAAGTTGATTTTGAGGTAGCTGATATAATGAGCTTACTGAGATAGAATTGTATTGTGGTATATGATAATATGGGTAGTTTCTTAAGTATCGGTAGTATGGTTTTGTGGTTTTCTTTTTGTATTTTCTGTGTGGTATTAAAAGGATGAAATCTTAGGTTCTAGAAAACAAATAAATAGCTTAAGGAAATGCACAACACTTGCCATGTATTAGACATGGTAAAAACTTAATGAATGTTGAAAGAAGGAAAAAAATACTATGTACATACCGTACAGTAACATCTCTCAGTTACTTAGCGCTTAGTTTCTCCAGTGGGTAAAATCTTGTGTTTGCTACACTCGTCCTTATTTTAGCAGTCTACACCTGGTATTTAGACCTTTGTAAGCAGATGTTTCTTAGGAGTAACAGAGAACCAGTCCTCTTAAGTCTTTCCTTGTATTCACAAATGATCTGACCATAAACAGTTTATTAACAAAATACTTACTACTGTCATTGGTTACTTGTCTTCTTCAATTTAGCCACTGGATTTTCAAAACACTGTAATGACCTTTTCTAATTCACATCCCTCCACCTTCTAGTGTGGATGGTAAACTGGAAGGTAAATATTAGGAGAAATACTGAAATTTCACTTGCCATTGAAAACTACCCAAAACAGATTTTTCTGTCACTAGAAAAGGTGAATATGATACTTTGTATTTTATATTCTTTCTCTTAACTTCACATCATTCATTGTTATATCTGAAGCCTTTTTACCCATTAAAAGCTTAACCAAAATATTTGTCACATATAAAGTGAATAGATTGTCCTTCGTTACAAAGTTTGGTTGCAACTAAGCTTGCACTTAGAACTTGTTTTATCAGTGCCTTTGTTCCTTTTTCCTTTTTATTGCTTACCTTTCTTTTTCTGGGTCCTTATTAGATATGACACCAAATTTTAAAATTTTGAGGAGTAAGTTAGGAATTAGAATCCTTGGCTTCTACACATTAGCTTTTAAAAACATTCAGTCCTAACGTTTTGACTTATGATGTCTAGATAAAGTATTTGAACAAGTAGCATGCCCTTGTAAAAGTTTTATTTTCTAATTTGTCATATTCAGAAACTCTTCTAACAGACAGGGGCTCCCCATCGTGGCTTCTTTTGGTCGCTACCCCTGAGTGTGCTCAGCAGTGACACTTGTCATATACGACCCTCATTATCTGGAATCCGTTCATACTTGAGGTTTCATGGCTGGGCCTTTTACCCTCCCTGGATTCCATGATACAGATGTTTCCTGTCCCTTCGACAGCTTCAATGTTCATTCTGAAGAACAACAGTTTTTAAAATCGTATTAGCCATAGATTTATTCTCAGCGATTTCTTTTTCACAGACTTGGGTCCTGGCCTCTGATTTCTCCAACCGTTCCTCCACATTCTCCATGTGCCCGTCTAGTTTGTCAAGTTTTGATGAGCAGTTCTCTACTTTGCCCTCCAGTGAGGACAGTGTATCCCTGCATTTCCCCGAATCTCCCTTGAAGCAACTCACTCCGCTGGTGGAGGGATCCACGCACTCTGCTGCACTGTGGACAAGGTCAGCCAGCCCAGCCCAGAGGAACCCAGGGTGCTGCCTCTCAGACAGTGCCTTGGGAGCACAGGGACCTCAGACACTGTTCTCCCCTCAAGCATGGTTTTATGTAATTTTCAAGATGGGTAGCTTAGATAATTTAACTAGCACTTCAAATATAAATCACCTAACTCCCCAGCTTTTAATGCATAACTCATGGTTATACCTTTGAAAGGTAGCTGGTTGTGGCTGTACAAGCTTCAACCTTTTTTTTTTCTTTTTTCTTTTTTTTTTTCCCCCACATAGTTGCCTCTTGAACTGTGATACTCACAATTCTGAAATTCTTAAAGATTTTCAGCTTAGAATAATGGACTAAAAGCTGATATCTAGTCCTCTAAGACCCTTTAGAAGTAGTCTGCTCTGCATTCTGTTCTTAATTTGTCATTCTGTTGCACATTAGTCACCATATATCAGAAATCATAGCTCAAATTATATACTCTTCTGTTTTTATTTTTGGTGCAAGTGGGATTTGCATTTGCTCAGAGTTTGGTTTGCATTTATGCTATGTGTGTGTGGGTGCCAGAATCCAGAAGGTGATCTGGAGAAATGCTTGTGTGTGTCACATAGTTTATTAAAAGAGGTTGACTATTAGAGTCAAACCAGGAAGAGTTATTTTAGCCCGCAAAACCAGACATTTTGCCATGTTTTTCTGGTGGTGCTTTAACTTAGCTGATTTTTTTATGAAAATTATGACTCTAAAATAAACTGGAGAGAATTGCCGAGTTTGTGAGTTATGTATTGATGCAGTGTAGCCAGAATAGGTTTGTCTAGAATTAGGTCAAGTGGGTGTATCTTGGTCTTGTTTTACTAACTAATGGTATTTTTGTTCATAATAGAATTATAGCTGAGACTGTGTTTTCAGATCTTTCTTCTCGGATTAATACATGTTACCCAAGAGACCTATAACTGAAGTTGTGTTTTAATCTATTTCTCAGTCACGAGGGAAGCTGAAGGTGATCTGGAGGAAATAAAGTGGCTCTGGTTTGCAGGGTCCCCAGTCTGTGTGCTTTATGCTCGTGTGTAAAGCTGTCAGTTCGTTTGGGTATGAAGAGAGATTTGTAAGCTCTACTATTTAGGCTAGAGTCCTGTTCTCTAAAACAGTTGGTATCCTGATGATATTTCAGTGTTTTTAATCGAACATACATTTTTAAACCAAAAATAGAATTTCCTGAAAGGGAGGATGATATTGTGAAGCTTCTTTACTTGAGGTGTGTTCAGGTAAAAATCGGATGAAATCTCTATATGGTATGTGACTTAATAAATTATTGTTTGATCAAATGACTTGCTGGAATTTGATGTTGTTGAACATAATAATTAGCTTGACGAATTGAAGATAGTTCTTTTAGGAAACAGCAAAGAATATTTAGAGAGATTTGTATTTTCCATTAGCTGTTTCCCATTGCAGAAAGCTACATAATTGTTTTAAGGTTATGAGAGGGGATTCATCTCCCTTATTACCTCTCAGACTTGTCCATCTCAAGAGGTTGGGTTCAGGGAGTATTTTATATTGAGCTTTTGATATATTTTTTTAAAAATCAGTATTATTAAAACAATACTTCAGTTTATTCAGTTTATCTGACTGCTGGTGAAGAACTTAATGGAAGCAAGCCATTTTAACATTATAGATTTTCTTCTATTAAATAAGGAGATAAATAACAAGGAGATAACTATTTTGGAATTTATTAAACTTATATATAAGTTTATCTTTTATTTATAAATTTATTTGTGTAAGAAAGGAATAGAAAATATATTTCTTGAATGGAAGTTAAGGAAACCCGGTTTTTAACATATAATCATTAAATTTTATTATTTTTAAAGCAGATATACCAGATTCATCACTGTGGGAGAATCAAGACTCTGCACAAACTAATGGAATTGATTCTGTTTTGTCAAAGGCTGAAATTGCATCTTGTAGTTATGAAGCCAGGTATGTAGGAATTAACTGTGTTGTAATACTTAGGGATAATTAATTTATTTACTTATTTTTATCTAATATTTAGAAGTGGATTCAAACATGCTAGTCAGGCCTCTGAATTTAAGCATGTTACAGCTATGTTACAGCAAGAAATGTTTCTAGCCTTAATTCCTTTAGTTCCTTTTTTTTCCAGCTCACAAATGCTAGATAACTTTAAAAAATATATATTTATTTATTTATTTTTAGAAGGGAAGGAAGGGAGAAAGAAAATCGTCTATGTGCAAGAGATACATCGGTCAATTGCCTATCGCAGGTCCCCAACGGGGGACCCACACCCAGGCACATGCCCTGACTGGAAATTAAACCCAGGACCTTTGGTTTCACAAACTGGCACTCAGTCCACCGAGCCACACCAGCCAGGGCTAGATAACCTTTAGTAAATAGTTTCCTGTGAACCCATAGGTCCTACAGTGCAAACCAAAAGAAATTGGACACTGTCATTTTTAAACCATTTTCTTTTGAAGCATGTCATTAAAGAATTAGATACTTCTGAATGGAAAGGGCTTTAGTATTCATGTAGTCTGTTCATTTCTTTAATAGCTAAGAAAAATCTCTTGTGATTTAAACCCTTAATATACTCAGTATCTTTTTAAAATTGTTAAAACTTGATTGCCTACTAAGTTAAAAGTAAATAATTGCATACTGAGTTACCTAATAATCTCACTTAAAATTGCAGTATTGTCAACTTGTTGGCACCAGTTTTGTGTGTTGATCGTTATCTTCCAGTAACCCTAAATCCTAATTACAATTGGCTGTTTCAATACAAGAAGAAATAGACACACTATATATATGTTTCTCATACTTTAAAAAAAATCAGTCATTTAAAAATAATCTGTTATAATAATTGTAAAAGTACAGGTAGTAAGTGAATTGATTAATTAAAAAGAAGTCTTTATTTTCTTCTTTTTTGATAACAGATTTTTATAACAGCAGGCATCCACACATGTGTTCAAGTATTTAATTTAAAAATTATAAAAGCAGAGTCTTACATCAGCCACAATTTTCAGCGCCCCCCCCCTTTTTTTTTTTTTTTTTTTGAGAGAGGTTAGGTAGCATTTTTATGGTTTTGTCATTTATACTGTTTTTAAAATTGAGATAAAATTTCAGGTGTACATCATAATGATTAGATATATGTAACATTTTTTTCGTCTTGATTAAAAGTTGAGGTTATTTGCCCTGGCCAGGTGGTTCATTTGGTTGTGGTGTTGTCCTGTACACCCAAAGGTTATGGGTTTGATTCCCAGTCAGGGCACATACCCAGGTTGTGGGTTTGATGCCCAGTCAGGGCACGTAAGAGAGGCAACCTGATGTTTCTCTCTCACATTGATGTTTCTCTCTCTCCCCTCTTCCCCCTCCTTCTCTGAAAATCAAAAACATATACTCAGGTGAAGATTAAAAAAAAAAAAAAAATTGGAGTTATTTAAGCCAGTCTAATCTGAACAAAAAATTTCAGTTCAACATTGTCTAACCAAAGTAGTTTGTTTAAAAGTTTCCCAGTTGTTTTATAAAAAGATATATAAAACAAAAGCATCCTATGTATAAAATTATAAAATATTTTTAACTATTTTCCACTTGTGACATGTCAAACATTTACTCCCAGGCTAACATTGCCTTTCTTGTTAACAAAATTGTTTTAATTTTTTCATTGTTAGTTGATAATGTACCCAAGTTGAAATTATTTGAATAAAAAAAAATTTAAAATAAAAATGTCTTTCGGATTATTATACTTTTATTAGCACTTGCAAGTTAGAGCTGATCTTACATTATACCTGGTAGGCTGGTCTTTCTCATCCCACTGAGTTACTGAGTGGTAACAGCGGTGCTTCTGATGGCTGGACAGTTGTGTCCCAAATCTGGAGGGTGTGATAAAGCCGAGATACTCTCTCAGACTTCAGATTTTGCTTGTTGGTGATGTGAAAGCTCTACCCTTGCTGTACTGCCTCTGCAAGATACTTCTTCTCACTCAGGCCCCCAACCTGAGTGCCGATTGGTGTGCTGAGGCCGCCTCCAGGGTAGAAGAGTTCCCAGCTCCTGGAGATTCTGGATTCCAGTAGCTGCAGTTGTGTCTGGACTCCAGGTTTCTGTTGGGGTTTGGGTGGTGCATTTGTATTGTATCACAGATGGCAATTGTCAGGCTGAGTGTATGACAAAAACAATTGGGGTGGCCATGTATGAGGGCCAAATAATATGTAGCAAGCCATTTAAGTGCCACTTAAGGGGCAAAAGTTTATTTTAAGGAGATACAGAAAGTGATGAAAATGATTTTGAGTATAAATTGGGGGGAAACCCACAAAAACCACAGCGATGAGGTTTTTATTATTTATTGCAATTTTCCATTTTCTAGAAGTCTTATTGCTAATGAAGATCTCCAGAAAACAGCTTTTGGATACCCTTCTATTGTGCTGTTATATTTTCTCTAAGTGGGAAGATTTGTTTTTAATAAGTACATTTACAATTGCATCAAATATTTCTGGGTTAGGATTGGAGACTGGACTGTGGGGACAATTAGCCAAGTTTTATGCATTGATGAGTTTTCGGTAGACAGATGGAGTCAGCAAAAAAAGGAATGTGAACATGAGGTGGTAAAAGTCACAGAAAGGTTGGATGAGTATGTGGGGTGAGAGAATGCATTACTCTTAGTACTTTCACCCATACTTGTTATAAAGAATAAGTTTTGTATGTAAGTGAGAAGGTAAGTATGTGGATGAATAGATAATGATATACAAATATCCTAAGATCATAGATTTTTAAGATTAAATCATTTTTAAACTTCTTTTCACAGGCTTTTGTTAAGGACCCTTTGCTCTTCTCAGTTAGCAATATGAATGTCTTTTAGTATATACAAGGGACAGTGACAGTGATTTAGTGGTTAATTTTTTTGTATTGTTTATCCAACACCAAAAACAATTGCTTGAGTGTAGCATATTGCAAAGAGCATGACCTCTGCAGTGCAAACTGGGAAAAGGGATTCTGCCACACATCCAGGAAGTGTTGATGGCGCGCCCTGTGTGGGATCTTAGTGGGAGGAATAAGGAGTCACTGGAGTGGAGAGTCACTTCAAACTGTTTCGTAACTGTCTTTACCCATTTAAATTTTTGTATAAGTGAAAATTTTGAAAATGAAATGATTGTGAATGTAAGAATATGATGTTTATAGCAATTAGGTAACACATTCCTTTAAAAACAAATAGTGACTTTTGTAAGTTGAGCTTCTATGTGCTGAATCTATATATCTAGCATTACTGAAAATGTTTTACACTATTAATGTACTTTTATGTAAACTTCTAAACTGTTATACGGTAGATATACTTTCCTGAGTTGCTAATCAAGGTCCATTGATTATATCCATCCTTGGTGGGTGAGGGCAGAGTCATCCTTATCCCCCCTGAAGCTGGTTTTGTTCACCATCTTTTACCCACCACCGCGTAAAATGCCAAGACAGAAAATTTTGTTGAATGAATAAAATATTTTTTTTAACCCTCTGTCAGTCATCACTTTCTTTACTGTCATTTTTTCCTTCCTGTTAGATATTTCTCATCTACTAGGGGCTTTGCAGTTAGATGATTTATTACTGTTTTTGTATACAAGAGAAATGCATGTGATTTGGCATTTTTTTCTAAGTTGGAGGATTTCTTTTCCTTCTTGGCTCTCACTGGTGGTCTGAGATGGGGAGGGTGCCAGAGGCCTCTGAGTAATTGAAGACTATTTATATATGTTTCTTAAAACAGAGGACACCCCATATTGAATAAGCACTTAGTAAATATTTATTGAATGTACAATATGTGTGGAATAACCATTTGATACATTTACATAGGGATGTGTAATCTAATGAAAACATTGCTTATTATTTTACTTGTGTTTTCACCTGAATATTTTTTTCTTGACTCATTACGGAGTGAGAAAGTGGAATTTTACTAATTACGTATAATTCCACAATTATACTTTTGTGCTGAATGCTCCAAATATCAAAAGTAATGTGTGGCATTGAGAAATACAAAAGATTTAAAATTCACCAATTTCAGTTAGGTCCCTGCAAGTTCTGGAACCCTGGCTCCAGTCGAGACTGCTGTCCTGCCATACACAGTGCTGTTGGCACCTCAGCCACTGTGGAGGCACTTTCGGAGCATGGGATTGGTCAGTTGGGAATTGCGTGGTAGTAGGATGAGTATATTTTGTCTGTTTGACACATAGCACGGTTTCGTATGGTTCTTTTGTTTATATTCTTTGTGTTTTGGGAATGAGCCCTGGCCACATCATGCCATGTATCAAAAGAAAAGTTCTTTCCTAGCAGATTCCTTCTCTGTGGTGGCTGTGGTGTCAACAGCATGTGACAGCTGGCATCTCTGCAAAGGGCCCAGAGATCTGCTTAGGAGAACTTGTTATTTCAGACAAGAGCCAAACCCTTTGTTGATAACATATTTTGCCATATCTCCACATGTCATTTACACTAATCCAACAATTGTGTAATTTTCCTTTGGGGGTTGGAAACAAACCTGAAAGTTTTTTCAATGCTTATTTTTATCCCTAATGGGAATGGAGTTAAATGAAAATTGGTATATTAGTGGCATGGGATATAATATCAACATGTTTATATTTTATTTTGCATTTAATGTTTTTTTAGGATAACCTCCATTGTGCTCTATTTTTCTCTAGACAAGTTGGTATTAAGAATGGAATGTTTTTTGGGTACGCTAAACAACTTTGTCCTAATCTTCAAGCTGTTCCATATGATTTTCATGCATATAAGGAAGTTGCACGCACGATGTATGAGACATTGGCAAGGTAAAGTATATGATATCGTCACTGCGTGTATGTGTTTTCCTGCTGCTTCTGTCTAATATAAAGTCTAGTTTCTTTCAGATTGTCAGAGTCACTTTTGCTAAAATTTTTTCTCTTTTAGGGCCCTTTTCTCAGCATCCCAGTATGACAGTCTTCTCTCCTTTCTTTGAGCAACTCCAGTAATCCATAGCTCTGTCTTTTTGCACTGCTGAACTTGGTCAGAATAAAATATAAAATCCGATTCTCTATATACATAACTTGTAGTCAGTGGTTCTAGTTTTCTTTTGTTTTTTACATGGAACCAGACAGATAAATGATTAGAATGTTTAAACCTGGTTATTCCCTTTTATTACACTGGAATTACAGTTTTTAAAATTAGAACTGACTAGTTAACAGGTAGAGACTCTTTAAAATCCTTTGTCTTCTAAAATTACTAGGTATGCCAAAAGGTTTTGTGACAGTTATTTTTAGTAATAGTTTCAAGGTGTTTGATTAGTTGGCTTGAGAAAAGAAAATTCATGTTTAAAATATTTCAAAATTTAAGTACATGCAAGACCATGTGTGCTCTAAAGCAGGAATCAGCACATTTTCTCTGTAATGGGCTATGTAAGGTCTGTGTCCCAACCACTCAACTCTCCTTTGTAGAGTGAAAGCAGCCACAGATGGTATATTGTGAATGGGTGTGTCTGTGTTCTACCTTTTACTTACCAAACCAGGCACCTGGGCAGTGGGCCAAGGTGTATTGACTGTATTGATGTTCTAAGAACTAGATGTTTTGCTTCTATGTTTACCTCTTCCTTGACTTTCCTGTGCATTATTTTGAATTCATGTTTATTGAGTTTCTTGATATAGACAACTGTTGATCCTGCTACTCCTGTAGAGAAGAGTAAGATCCAGTCTCTGCCTTTGTGGAGTTTGCTTTAGCAGGAGAGAGAAAATGTAAAGGAAGTGATGAAGTTAATCTGGCATTAGTATAGAGGATTGAGTGCTGAATGATGAGACCCAGGTATAATCACAGCTGTCCTTAAGATCCAAATACAAGAATGTTGGTATTGCCAAGTGGAAAATGTGCTTCTTAAATCCTGTTCCAAAGCTGAGGTCAGTGGTAGTGTCCAAATGAGGGCTGGGAGTGGTGACTCAGCTGAGTAGTGGCCCTCATGTGTTCTTGGTCCCAGAGCAGACTGCCAGCTTCACCTCAGATCAGGAGGGTTTTGGTGGCATGTAGCAATCCTGGCGGGAGAAAATTAGTGTTAGTCTCCTGCCCCTCTTCGGAAGTCCTGCCTCAGCTTCCTAGTCACCATGCCTTAGCGCTGCATTCACTCTAAAACAGATTCCTCATGTCAGGTACACCCTTCTGCTCTTAGAAATGTCATCCTTTATTTAAGCGTAAGTCTGACTTGTTACCTACTGTAGGGTGTAGGTGAAAGATGAAGCCTGTTCCTCCTGGTGTATATCTTACCAAGAGAATTGCTAAAGATATAATTCTGATACTGAGGCCTCTCTGGTTGCCTCCGACTTGTGGTTCATGTATTCAGTTAACATTGGAGCCACATGGCAACTCTCCTCTACCTTTTCCTCTTCTCTAGCTCATTAAAACAAGTCTTTTGTGTGGATGGATCATGACCGGAAACAAAAAGCCAACTATTTCTGCATGCTGAGAGTGTGAATGGTACCCTTTTAGACAGGCATTTGGGGTGATTGGCCTGCTGCAGTGAATGGTATATCATTGTACTTTTATTTAGGACAGCATTGATTACTTATTTGACAGATTTGTGTGGGGTTTTTTTTTTTTTTTTATTCTTTAAGAATTCTGATAAACCATGTCTGAGAAATTTTTAGATTAAATGTTGGTAGTTCTAACTTACCTACTACTTTTCAACTATTCAGAGGTTTACAAAGATATTCTCAGTATAGAGACACTGGAATGATAATTTCTGCTGTGTGGATAACATGGAAAAGGAGAAAATACTAATTAATTAATTTTGCACTTAAAAGTTAGGTGCCTAAATAATGACACTTGGGCCAGTTTAATGAAAATGCTAATTTTTTTTAATCATCTTAAGTCTTATAAGGAAATGTTGAAGAAAGATACCACGGAGAGGCTGTATTTTACAAAATCTGTGATCGTGCGTGTCAAGTTGTAGCTTTGCCTCATTGCCTTTGCTTTGTCTTGGCAGCTACACACATAACATCGAAGCAGTCAGTTGTGATGAGGCGCTGGTAGACATCACTGAAATCCTTGCAGAGACCAGACTTACTCCTGATGAATTTGCAAATGCCGTCCGCATGGAAATCAAAGACCAGACTAACTGTGCTGCCTCTGTTGGAATTGGTCAGTATCCAGCTTCTCTCCTATTGTTCATGTCACTCAAAACATTGCTCAGGGATCATTGAATATCACTTAATTTTTAAGAGTGATTTTAGATTTTTGTTTTTATTGCCTTAGCATTGCTCAAAATTATTCAATACATGAGATAAAAGTGTTGGAAATTGTTGATAATATCGTTGGAATAAACAAGTTGGGATATTTCTTGTTCTCCAAAAATGGGGAGAATTGAATTCAGTGTTTGTAAACAATGGATGCTTTTTTTCAGAAGTGCACAGAAACCATCTTTAAAGCAGTATGGTGTGGAGTATGTGAGGTTTAGCATTGTTAAGTTTGAGGCCCGTTGTAGTTAAGTTACTTTGTGAACTTTAGCAGTTCCAAAAGTCACCCTCATGACAATGCCCTTCCGTGATGGTCTTATCACTCCCTGTTATCTGTTTTATCCTTAAGCCTTGCACTTGGTTTCCTCAGTTAATTCCTGTCATTCATCATTCTGTGCCCTCTGGACCCCTCCTTCTCATACCTCAGCTTCCCTGTGTCACCTCCTCTTTTCTGAACTTACTCAGTACCTCTTGCCAAGGGGTCTCTTTTCTTGCCCTCAAGTGGATCCAGTTTGTCCCTGCCATAGCTCTGTAAGCCGCAGCCTTGAGAGGGTGGGAGAACTTTTTCTTAGCTTTCCACCTCCTACCCTCTCTCTAAGGTCAATGAATAAAAAATAATAACAATAATAATCATAAGATACAGAAAGTAAAAATATGATTAACACATTCATAGCCGCCTTCTGTTACTAGCTAGCCTGTCTGGTGTTTGGCCTGCAGGTCCATCTTGTCATTTATTTAGGACTCACCTTTTGTAGTCCAATATCAGGCACAGGCTTGGTTTTGGGTTTGTTTTTTAGTTGTATTTTTCATTTACAAGTGTGACAATGTGCCTACATTCCTTTAAGTTCAAGCAAATAATTAAAATTTCCACATGATATTTCCTCTTGTCAGCCCCCTTTTCTTCTTTAGTACGCACCTTAGTTATCATTTTGGTGTGATTTTCTAGAACATTTTTTTCCTCATGAATATCTATATGCCTACCCTGGGAAAACACAGTTTTTACATAAATCTTCCATAAAATTAAGACATGTCCTTTATATAAGTCTTCTATAATTTTTGGCGATGTCGTTATTTACATACAAGTTCCCCTGACATCTTCATTTATCAGGCCCCAGACACTCCCCAGCAGTCTTTGCTCAAGTTTTCATGTTCATACCCACACATTGGACCTCACTGTCAGTATCCATCTTTGCTTCTAAATCTCTCAGACCCTCAGTTTCTATTACACATGTTCTGACTATAGAGTGAGGCTTGTGTTTCTTTGGGCTTTCTTTTTTTCCCAGTTTGATAACATTCACTTGGCCTTATTTTCATACCTAGCCTGGATCTGTTGTTAGTAAATACATAATTTCTAATTAATGCCCTCAACTTCCATAAATCACAATCATTAGCTCTGCTTTCACTATTCCCTTTACTAGGGTAGGGGATGTAGAAATTATACTTACTTTGAATCACAGAGAAAACTCTGTCAAGTAACCATGCTGCTTATAATCTGTTATACCTAACAAAATTCTGCCAATTTTATACTGTATTTGAAATGATCACTATTGCAAATTATTTTCATTGTTTTTAGAAATTTGCTCAGTAACCTGTGTGTAGATGTGTTTGTTAAGAAATTTAAAAATTGTGGCATTTCTTGAATAACTTCGGTTTTTGCTTTTTTTGTTTGTTTTTTTAACTGTATAGGTTCTAATATTCTCCTGGCTAGAATGGCAACCAGAAAAGCAAAGCCAGATGGCCAGTACCACCTGAAACCAGAAGAAGTCGATGATTTTATCAGAAGCCAGCTAGTTACTAGTCTGCCAGGTAAACACACATCTTTTCTTTTTAACATTTATCGTAAGCATTTATTAGTGCTAAAAGTTTATGATATATATTTCTTTTCCAAAACATAAATGAAATATTTTACTTATTTTTGAGTGCCACGAGAACAAAATTTGGAATTTCACAATGAGTGTCTCAATTGATTTATCAGGACCTTAATGTTACATTTACTTTGCTTCTGATGTGTTTTACTTGAAGTATTTCTCAAGTGGCAAGAAAAGAAATTGCAAGAAATAATTTTAAAATGAATATGATGAAACTGTCTCTTGGTCCTTTAAATAAATGATTAAAATAGTGTGATTCTGGGTCAAAGAGGAAATTTTGAGAATTGAATTACCTATTTATAAAATTATCCCGCAAGATTAATGACAGTTTGTTTTTTTAATTTTAGTAAGCAAATAGTTTTAATTAAAAGTATAAAGTATATGAACCATATTCAGAAGACTAAAATGTAGCCCTGGTGATATGGCTTGGTGGATTGAGTGCCAGCCTGTGAACCAATGGGTCACTGGTTCAATTCCCAGTCAGGGCACATGCCTGGGTTGGGGGCAAGGTCCTCAATAAGGGGTGTGTGAGAGGCAACCACACATTGACATTTCTCTCCCTCTCTTTCTCCCTCCCTCCTCTCTCTAAAAATAAATAAAATCTTTAAAAAAAAAAAAAAGAATAAAACCTAAAGATGAAGTAATGTCTTTTGTTAACTCAAAGGTTGAAGTAAAACTTCCATCTACATCTTTCTTGCCGAAAGGGTAAGATATTAGTTATTTTACATTTTTGTGTAGTTACTGTGTGGCTGGCTAACTGAATATGTAACATTTTTCCACGGAGAAATCATCAAATATAATTAATTACAACTGAAAAATGGTTGTCTTTTAAAAGGTGTCCAGGAGTGCCCTGGCCTGATGGCTCAGTTGATTGGAGCATTGTCCTGTATACCAAAAAGTTGTGGGCTCGATCCCTGGTCTTGGCATGTAAAGGGGGCCACTAAATCGATGTTTTTCTCTCATGTCAGTGTTTCTTCTCTCCTCCCTTCCCTCTCTAAAGTCAGTAATAACATATCCTCCGGTGAGGATTTAAATAAATAAAGAGCCTTGAATAGATGTAATTTGGGGGGGGGTAGAACAATTCCTTTCACAATTATTAAATATTTAGACTTGCTTTCTATGGTGGATGTCTCTAAGAAATTTTTCTAAAGCACATACCAGTCCTTGCTACTATATCAGGTAATCCTCTCCTGTTTGCTATAGATCATCCTGAATTTGCCTTAAAAAGTTCTTTTGTGTTTGTAGTGGGGAAAGTTCAAGACAACACATTTTTGATGAAAGTTTTTAATTTGTTTGTTAAAAATCAATGTAGTGGTATTTTTAGGTGCATATTGGTAAGTCTAATAAAAGTATATCTAAACTAAGAAATTTCTGTTATAGGCCATAAGATATTAAATGAACCAAAAGCCATTTTATGATGGGTTAATTTTGAAGCTTCCTGACTCCCTAATAAAGAACTTAAAATAATATATTAGTGTCAAAAATGTGAAATATGACACTGTGATGGTCCATTTGAGGTTAAATTTGAATGATTAACCTTATAAAAATCAAGCTTAAATGATGTCATTTGTTTCAAATCTCATTTTGTTTATGATGTTGAGGAGGAAAAAAGTCGATTCCCATGGGTCCACGGTCTGTGCGGAGTTGGCGTGTTCTTCCCATGTCTGCATGGGTTTTCAGGAACTCCAGATTCCCTCTACATCCCAAAGATGTTCATGTGAGGGGAATCGGTGTGTCTGAATTGTCCCTGGTCTGTGAGTGTGGGTGTGTGTGTGTGGCCCTGCAATGTAAGGGTGTCCCCTTCCAGGCTGGGGCCTGGCCTGGTTGCCCTGAGGTGCTGGGAGACACTCCAGCCACCACTGGATTGGAATCAGTGGTTTGGAAAAGAATGCTCTTACTTGGTTTTATTAGTCTTTCTTAAATGTATGCTGAACTCATATTTATGTCAATATTTAATATTGGAAGTGATTAGGATATTTATTTAGAAGTTTGGTGATATTTTGTGACCAGAAATATGCCATAGGAACTTAACCGTTGTTTATATTAACTATTCTAGGGTTAAACTGGTTTTCTTACACCTTGTTTCACTTAAAGTCACAGTTTTCCAGAACCTATTGATGATGTTCAGTGAGGCTTACTGGACCTATTTAGACAACAGAATTTAAATTATACATCTTACTGTTTTATATTAAGAAGAACCAGTATATTTAAAGCTACATGTGATATTTGAGTTCATGTTTATTATTCCAGCCATCTCCAGTAGTTTGTTACAGCTGCCATAGCAAAATACCACAGAAATGTATTTTCTCAAGATTGTGGAGGCTAGAAGGCCAATATTGAGTGATCAGTAGGGTTGGTTTCTTGTGAAATCTCTCACCCTGTGGCTTGTAGATAGATGTCCATGTCCTCCCTGTCTCCTCACAACACGGTGTTTTCTCTGTGTGCACTGGGTCCTAATCTCCTCTTACAGCGATGCCAGTCATGTTGGATTAGGGCCCACTCATAAAGACTTCATTTGAAGACCCTTTCAAGGCCCTGTTTCCAGTTACAGTCCCATAATGAGGTACTGGGTTTTAGGATATCAGCATAGGAATATTGAGGATACACAATTCAGTCCATAACACCATCTTCAAATCACTTTTTTATAGGGCTTATTTATTTATTGTTGGTAGTTTTACACAGAAATAGAGAATTTTTAGTTCCTTGGTTTAGCAGTCTTATCTTTCACCTTTATTTGCTTCCTGGCTGGAGGGACTTTATTTATTCCTTGAAGGGCAAGTATGAGGTTACATGTCCTGGTTGAGTTCTTAAGCACAGCCTTGAATTTCCTAGTGAATGGATGTGTGAAACATGGGATGCAGGAAGGTTGGCTTCCTCTGGTAAGCTCCCTCCTCATGCAACATCCTTTCATCTTCAAAAACCAGTTTTTTTCACCCAGAATTGTGTGATTTTCATTTGTTTAAATTACTTTTATAAAATCCCCAAATTCTTAATTTAGAATATTTCAGATATACAAAATGTAAGGTCTCTCTGTTATCCCTGTCCTGAAGGTGGCATTGTAATCCATATTTTCTCAAAGTGTGTTCCACAGGGTACAAGCTGATCTTTAAAAAAGGATTTCACATACATAAGGGAACCTTCACAGGGGAGGGCCCACACAGCAAGAGTTCTGAGAATTCTTACAATAAAGAAACCTATTTGTTTATTATACAACTAGTAATCTCCCAAAGATAAATGAAGATGGATATGTAATACCTGTTAACATCTTGCGGAACATGCTTTGGGGAAATTTTGCCCTCTAACCACTAACCAGGAGAAACTCAATGTTGACACATCTTGCTGCCTGTCTTCCACAAGCTCTCTTTCGCCCTAAATGTTTATTATTTATTAGCACACGGTGTGCCTCACACAGTAACAGTTATTGTAGCTACATAAGAAGGAAAAACACACTAGTTGAGTTTGTTTTAGGGAACACCACAGAATGATTGTATGTTAGGCTAACAAATTACTTAATGAGATGTATTTATCTAATTAAAGATAGGATGGTCCGCGACAGCTATTTAAGCACAATAGCTATTTCTGTGTATTCTTTGGCTCTTTGCAAGGCTTTTCATCCTGTATGTGTGCCCTTAATTTAAGGGCCTTTTCTACCTCTTGGGCCTGCTCTGGGTTTGTGCACGCAGTCTGTGGTTTCCATCTCTTTATTTTCACAGAAATACCATGAGCGTGTACATAAAGATCTATACTGTCCTGATACGGTAGCCACTAGCCAAGGGAAGCTAGTGACACTAATTAAATAAAGGTAGATAAAACTAAGATCCAGTTCCTCAGTGGTACTAGCCACATCAGGCTCAGTAGCCACCTGTGGCGAGTGTCTACTGGGTTGAACAGCACAGGTATAGAACGTTTCCACTATCACAGACAGCTCTGTTGGACAGCGCTCATTTAGTTGTGAAAACTGTTCTGAAACTTGACTCTCCTGGGTCTCTGTTGGGCTGTCAACTTCTAGGTGCCAAGGAAGAGACATCATGGCCCTTTCTAATCTAAAGTAATAGTTCCCATTCAAGGACAGATACCAAGTCTCTGTCCCGGTGGCTTGACCAGGAGCTCCTATATCTTTGATTCTCTTCTACCTTTCTCTGAGCCTTGGTTCTAAGTTAGCATATTGTCCTTCACTTTGCCTTCCTAGGTGGCTGCACTCCATGTGAGCCTCAAGACCCTGTTACTTTCTCCTTAGCCGTGCCTCCATTTCTTATGAACACTTACATGATGCAGTCAATTAAACTAGCTACCCTCTCAGGGTTTTGGTGCTGATTCCAACCTTAACTTTTCCACCCCACCCAAGGTCATAGGGGTTAGAGGTTGACCCATCCCCATGCCTCCCTCCCACACTGGACTTCAGGCCCATCTTATTACATTAGATAAGCTTGCAATGGAGACAATCTTTTCTTCCCTACAGGGGTCAGTTTGGCGGTTTAATATAATAGCCTTTCTTTTGTACCTATTAGTGAATAACAACTCTGTTCAGTATACTGAAGATACTCTCAAATAACTGTAGGTGCCCCTTGCTGGTTTTGCAAGTCTCTGAGAACAGATTGGCTCCCAGATATGTAAGGGGGAAAGATCATGGTTACATTTCAAGGATGGGAAGCAGGGCAATGATGAGAAGGAAAAAGAGACAAAAAAACCTTCCCTGAACATGAACAAAAAAGTGCCTATCTTGTCTGACTTCGGCCAACCTAGTATATGATTTGTCATTTCCTCGTGTTTCTCCTCCCTACCTTGAAAAATACTCAAGAGATTTCACTTTAAATTAAACCTTTTTGTGAATGGAGTTCCTCTGGAGGATATTTTGTTGTTGTTAATTCTGGTGTTCTCACTTGTTCTCCCTTCTGACTTGAACTGTAAAAGGGCACAGATAGGAGGCAGCACCCTTAATATCATCTTTCAGGGGATAAATTCTTTTGGTTTAAACTTGTTGAGCCCACTCCCATGGCCATACGTCCTTTCTGAGCTTGACAGCCTCCTAATCTTGTGTCACAGATAACTGCTCGAAGAGGTTCTTCTGGCAGAAATTAGACTAAAGTGGTTGTTCGTTCTACTGAAGACACTCAGGATAGTAATGAGCAGAAGATGTCAGACTTCCCTCTGAGCTCTCTCATAAGATCCTGCAGAGGGCCAGAAACGCAGCCTTTTCCTTATTGATGAGAAAAGGATTGATTTGATGGTTTGGAGGCCATTTTAATAAGAATTTTAGTTTCTCTTAATTACCCTTAAACATCTTTCCTAGATATGCATATTTTTGTTAAGGTTTCAGGCAAATTGAAAGCAACAGAACCCAACAGCATCCTTTGGGTGAGGCTCAAACCTTGCATTTTGAACAGTGTGGCACAGGGACTACTGAATGCTGGCCCAGCTGTGGAAGGGTGGTACCTTTTCAGGGAGATAGTCTTTGTTGATAAAAGAAGTAAGTCTCTTCCCTCCATACCCCTACTGCCACTTGGTTTGCTTAGGAACCTTCATCCCCAAGGTCACTGGTACCACTTTGTCCAGTAAGGTGGCAGGTAACATTTTCGGGTTTAGGCCTATGTCATTAAGTTCTTATTGTACTTCCTGTTTAAAGAAAATGTGGTTGTAGCTAATGTTGGAAAGTTTGGCCATCACCAAAATCGTAGAGGAATCCTAACATTGATGAGTTTCCTCATCTGTCTGTAAGTCATACTATATATAGCTTAGTTGATTTTGTGAATAAGATAGAAATTTTGGTATTACTAGTAATAAATAAAAATTGCATTCTTGACCTGGCCAAGTAGCTCACTTGGTTGGAACATCACTCCATATACCAAATGGTTGTGGGTTGGCTCCACAGTCAGGGTGCATAAGGGAGGCAACTGATCAATATTTTTCTCTCCCTTCCTCTCTCTTTGAGATCAATAAACATATCCTCAAGTGATGGTTTTTAAAAACCACATTTCTTTGAGACCTTAATACATATTTGAGAAGTTTTGGTTCACCTAAATGTGGAGCCCAAATTGAGAAACTTCTAGAAATTACTAGCATGATTTGTGTAAAAATTTCAAATTTATGAGATATTTCAGTTATGTCACATAAAATTTTTAGGGGTGATTATTTGCATTAATATTTAAATTATGGAATTGATTTAATAATAAAATTAATCTGAAGTAGTAATTTCATATTGATAAATTGTTTTTCATAGTTTATGTGTAGAACTGAAGAACTCAGTATATCCCCTTTCATAGGAGTTGGACGGTCAATGGAATCCAAACTGGCATCTTTGGGAATTAAAACTTGTGGAGACTTGCAATATATGACCATGGCAAAACTCCAAAAAGAATTTGGTCCCAAAACAGGTCAGATGCTTTATCGGTTCTGCCGTGGTTTGGATGATAGACCAGTTCGAACTGAGAAGGAAAGAAAATCTGTTTCAGCTGAGATCAACTATGGAATAAGATTTACCCAGGTACTGTTTTCTTATTGGGTATTGCCTTATATTGTCCTTGATATTTTCACATAGTCCTATCTTGTCAGCTAGACCAGATTCTTGGTGCTTGACATTGTCATAAAACTCTTGCTGTCTCTAGAGCTTGCAGAATCAGTTTTTTTAAATAGATGGTCAAGCAAGATAGTGAATAATGTGCATGTATAATATTGAAATTGTTATGCATATAGGACATGACATGGGAGTTTTTCTGTGTATGTCTTTCCATAGCCCAAAGAAGCAGAAGCTTTTCTTATGAGCCTTTCAGAAGAAATTCAAAGACGACTCGAAGCTGCTGGCATGAAGGGTAAACGCCTGACTCTCAAAATAATGGTACGAAAGCCAGGGGCCCCTGTAGAAACTGCAAAATTCGGAGGCCATGGAATTTGTGATAACATCGCCAGGTAAGCTTATCTTTAAAATAATATTGGGTATTAATGTTTCAGTGCAGGTTATCACAATTATAGAAAACTAGAGAAGCATATGAATAAAGATCTGTAAGCGCTGATGTTACTTGATATTCTGTAGAGCCAGGCCTCAGCCTAAGGCCATTTGAATTATGTTAATGTGCTCAGATTCAGTCAGTCATGTGATCCTATAGCAGTAGGTCAGCCTGTCAATATATTCCTGACCTTTGGCAGCCCATCCTTGAAGTTTTCAGGCTGTTGACTTAGGTGCATGGACACAAAGAGAGGGAAAGGCCCAACACCTGCACCCACAGAGATGTTGTGGACATAGTGAGAGGGACCCGTTGGGAAATTTTAATATGGTAATTTAATAAATGATGTGAATGACACATTTGCTTCACTTAGGGAGGTCTAATTTCTGTTTGTGAAAAGATTATCATTGTTGTCTCTGCAGACTGTTAGAACACATTTAAAAATCCTGTTTTGTTTTTTTAATGTGAGGACAACAAATATAAAACTTCTGCTAAGAATTGTGACCAATATGCCAATACTTAGTTTTCTTTTGCATGCCATTTTATACCACACTGTACACTGTATTATATCTGTTGGTCAACCAAAGCTTTGAGACTTTTGACCCTGAAAGCCACATACAAGGATGCCATAGCTCATGCTAACCATATAGACCATATTCACATATGTATGGTGATGTTGCTGAGAGTAATGAGATCATGCTGTCAATCACAGAAAACTTCCAACTTTATCTTTAATGCCTTTGTTTACTAGAAAAACAAATTATAAATTACAGATAAAAAACATAAAATACATTTTTATACAGTTGGTAATCTTGAACTGTTATATTTACCTGTTTTAATGGACATTTGATGTACCCCTATTTCAAGTGTTAAACATAGCGATAGTGGTCATTTCTATAATAATTTGGTTATTAGGATCTTAACTCTGTATATAATTCTTTTTAAACATGGTTTCTATGGGAAAATCAGATTCAGTTTATAATATTACTACCTTTTCTGGTATTATAACCTGGAACTTTACTTGTTCAAGATATATGGAAAGAATCGTTCAAAAATGAAATAATTTTTCTTTGGAAGGAAAACTGGTAGTGATTAGAATTTCCTTTTGCCATATTTGCAATTTAAATGTCTTATAGTTACTTAGCATTGTACGTTGGGGTACATTCAGCAGTACTTAGGGGCTCACTCTGTCTAATTTTATTAAGAAAATCAGCCTTTGTGTCATCCTGTTTGGAAAAATCCAGGTTGTCCAAAAATTTAATTACAACATTTAAAAAATTGGGATTGATTAAACTTTATTCCCCCTGACTTAGGATATTTTATTCAGCTTTTTTATAAGCACATGTTTGCTTTTGTTGGCCTGAACTTAAAAAAATAAAAGTTTTATTATAAAAATTTTAAACACAATACGGAAGTGGAAGGAGTAGTATAATGAACCCCCTTCCCGCACCATGAACCCGTCACCTGATTCCCACAATTGCTGTGAGCCGCCCCTGTGGCTTCTCCCCTAGCCCCCAGTGATTTTGACACAAATCTCAGCTACTGTATCATTTCTTCCACAGCATTTCAGTGTTTATCTCTAACAAGATAAGTGCTCTTTGTTTAGTAAACACAAGTAATAAAATGCACATTTTGCTGAACCTTTAAAATACTAACTTTGGATAACCCATGATGATGCAAAAGGAGCACATGATTAATTGAAGCAAGTGTCATTTTATAAATGTTACCATGATGTAGGTAACTGTAAGCTATTATCTTAAACCTATCTTTGTGGTGGTATTACGGCTGCATAAGAAATGCTGTAGGTGAGGGATTAGGAAATATTATAATACCCTGTATTTCCTTTAATTCAGGGGCTGACAAACTACTTCCTGCAGGCCAAGTGCAGCCTATGGCAGGTTCTTATATTATTGGTGTGAGGAAAGAATGATTTTTATATACAAGCCTGTGAAAAATGAAGAATGTGGAAGAGACCACAGGGCACAAGTTATTTATTGTCTGGCACTTCACAGAAGAGTTTGTGGATTCCTGCTGTTAGTCTAACTGACTTACCATATTTTGCCACGTATAATGTGCTTCCCTGTATTGTGCACCCACATTTTTGACCCAAACCTTCAGGAAAAAAATCTTTTAATTTTTTATTCATTTATATTCAGATACTTGTTTTTTGTATTATAAAAGAATTTTAGCATTTATTTTTTAACATATTGTGGTACAAGAAATTTTATGTAACAAATAACTACAAAACAAGATCAGATACAAGGTATTTCAGATATTACCCATGTATAATGCACACCCTTATTTCCCTCAAAAATTTGAGCGAAAAATGGCGCATTATACATGGCAAAATACACAGTAATGTCCAGTTGAGTAAATAAAGGACTGGTTTCACATTCTTTATTTCTTTAATTTCTTGTACTTGGCCTTAACCCAAAGCTGCTTTGCAGTCATGTGACTTACAAACTCGAACACATTATGAAATTGTAATAGAAACAACAGATTTTATGCTGCATGTCAGAGCTACATGTAGATTGAGGTCTGGCTTTGTCATCACTTACGAAAATTTTTCTTATCACAGTTTTCCTTTTGGGAAAAGAATTTTCCTCTCTTGAAGGTGTTTTTAATTGGAACTATATTTATATTTTTAATCAGAGTAATGCATGTAATTGACAAGGTGTTGCAATACAATGCTTTCAGTCCTCTGCACTCCTCCCCAGCTCCGAGTACCATTTTTTTCAACTTTTTAATGGTTTCTTCTGGTATTTACCTCTGTATTTTTAGATACGTACTTAAACTGCTATTTCTAGCTTATTTCAGCTTTGCAAAATGTTTACTGACTTTCTGTTGTAGATTTTTCCCTACATGCATATATCTTTGCCCCTAATAAAGTTATTAGTTTTTCATTAGATCACTGTCTAGTGTAACATTGTTATAACCACATATACACTGTACAGATACGATCCGTATGGTCCACTGTCATTCTGTTTCCTCCCGTGTCTGTATCTTGTTTTTCTTGTTTTGTGAATTTGCCAGAGGTTATCCCCAAACCCTTTTGCAGTTTTCAATACATCAGCAGTCTGTTGACTTGATCTTTTTCCTTGGAGACCTCTCTCTTGGGGTCCCTCAACTTGCTACTCTGGTCTAGATCCATTTATTTTATGACCTCCTGCAAAGCCTTCTCTATGTTGGATCCCTGTTTTCCTTCTCCTAGTATCTTACTGAGAATGCATGGGAGTACATGTTTTTGAATCTGTGTGACTATCCTGGTGCTCAGTGGTTTTGCTGACTTAAAGATTATAAATACGAGTTATAAATTAGAAATCATTTTTCTCAGGCACTGTTCTCATCAGTTTTTCAGGATTGCCATTGAGAAGTTCAGTGCTCTTCTGGTTGCCTGGTTTTTATTGGGCCTGTCCTTTCCCACAGGAACTTTCAGAGCCTGTGTCTCAGGGTTCTGGAATTTTATTGTGGGCTCTTTGTCTTTGTGCCAGGTACTTTGTATTAAATTTTTGTCTCTAATAACATTTTAAATTTCTGAGTGTTTTATTTTTAGCACATTTAAATATTTATAGTATCTCTTATTTCACATTGCCGTATTGTGTCTTGTCTCCTACAACTCGTATATTTTTCTATACGCAGTGTGAGTCTGTTTTTCCAAGTTTCTTTTTTCCTGTTTTGGTTGCTGTGTTATTATTAGAGGCTTTCTTCTAAGAATCTGTCTGTCTGATAGTTCTTGGCCATCTCTTCATATGTGAACTGTTTGGATCCGCTGATTCTTACTGGGACCTGTAGAATAGTGGGATTTACCCTAGATGAGTGGTTGGAAGGGCTTGCTGCCGCATTACTACCACCAATTGGGAGTATCTGTGGTCTTTTCTCTCTCAGGCTTAACAGCGTCCCTAGACAGGAATCCTCCTATTTCTTGCCTAGGGGGTTGGTGAGAAGATAGTTACTCAATAGGAAAGCAGGTCTGGAGGGGAAAGGGTGTGTGAATCTTTTGAGAGAGGTGCCTCACTCCTCCCTTAGCCACGTGTGATATCTGCACTTCCTCCATGGGTGCTAAGAAGAAGAGGAATCACTTGTACAGGCAGGTGTAGGCCTACCTGTTCTGCATCTCCGGGTCTTTGCCCCTCCTACCCGTCTGGATGAATGTGACTTCTTTAATTCCTTGGTTGGTGGACTTCCGTGCAGCTCAATTTTCTGATGATTCTGGGTGATACTTGTTTTGTAGTCTAGTTACAATTTTTGCTGTGGTGGTGTGAGGTGAGCCATGTTTACCTACACCTCCATCTTGACCTGAAGTCTGAGTTTATACCTTTTAAAAATAATTTCAAGTCAGCTTAGTGGTGTTTTGGAAAGAAATTAAGATAAACACATGTTTAATCTACTAAGGTCCACTAAAAAATCATGCTTTTAAGTTATTCTCTATTTATCTTTGTGAAATAAATTGAAGGTAATTATTAGGTAACAAATCAGTAGAGATATTTTTCCAAATGGTTCCTTAAAGAAACAGGTACTTTTTACAGATGAATTCATAATATCCTCAGGGCACTGAAAAATAAATCAGTACATGTGTTTTGGGTGCTGGAGTCCTCCTTCAGGAGTCCTTGAACATCTAAGAATTTTATACTCTAATCTCCCTGTGTTTAGTCAGGATACTGCCATATCCCCTTTGTCCAAGCCGTCCACACATTTCTTTACCGGTTACAGAGCCCCTGAGGGAAAGTAGAATCATATGAGCAGCTTTACCTCAAACATAACCAAATTAGTCAAGAGCCAAAATACAAGGGATTTATCTTTCTTTTATGAATATTAACCATTCCTCAACATATAATCTTTTTTGGAACCTAAAACTTCTCTTGGAATCTAAAACATTGTACTTACCATTCATGCTTTAGTTGCAACATAATATGCTTATATTTGTACATGCATCACTAAAGTACATTTTTTTAACATTCCAACTTATTTTTTAGTTGGCTGGGTCTTTATTAGCTTTTAATCTTAAAGTCCCAATGTTCTGTATGATTTTTGACTTCCTTGAAAGAAGGCTATCTCATTCATTTGTAAGGATTATATTTAGTATTTAATTTTTTAAATTTTTTGTATCTTTCTTTACAACTTTTCTGTAATTCTTTGAACAGTTCACGACTACTGAGATAGTAGAAAATACATGTGGAATGTGGCTATTGTTCCTTTAAAAAAGTTAATTCCATCATTTACAGGACTGTAACTCTTGACCAGGCAACAGATAGTGCAAAAATAATTGGAAAGGCTACGCTAAACATGTTTCATACAATGAAACTAAATATATCGGATATGAGAGGGGTAAGTATATAACATTTTAAAATTCTTTTTTTTTTTCATTTGACATTTGATCTGAAAATGGTTGTGGTGGCGTGTGGGGGTTTATTTGCAGGTTTCATCTTTTCTGATGCAATACAGGCAGAATAGAAAACAGAAAAACTTGACTTTCTTGTTTGACCTGATCTCCATATTTTTCAGAGAAGAGTCGAATTTGTTCTGTAATATTTTTTTTCTGCCTAGAATAATAATTTTATATCTTGAGTTTTAATACAACCTTTTTCTTTTAATTAACCAAGGGCTCATTTTCCAGGCATTATCTTGCTCCCTGTTTTCGTTCCCCCGGAAATAGATAGGACTGGGAGGAGTGGAATCCGCAGGTCTTTGTGCCTGTCATGTACTTTTTAATCAGAAATTTATTCTGGTGTCTGATGAGGGTGACCCAGAAGGGAGAGTTTACCATAGGCCCAACAGAGATGCCTTAGGAACAGGTAGGTGAGGGGGGCCTCAAAAATGTAAAAACTTTCCATTTTCTTCAAGATTAACCTTGGTTGGTTCAGGTGTGTGCGCACCCACACATGAGTGAAGGGGTAGTTTCTGGGTCGGTGTGGGTTTCATGGAAGGACTAGAGTTCTGAAGCCTCTGTGAGTGCTTCTCCCTGCAGTGCTGTCTGAGGTTCTGTGTTGGTGTTGTGGGGAGCACTGTCTGCCCAAATGCCGAAGGGTATCTATGGCCCATCCACCCCCAAACCCATTTTTTAATATTACTTATTTTATATGAAGAAAGGTTGGAGGTAGACTATTCCTTATTTAACCTTTGTAAAATCTTAGTTTAAAATCTTAGCTGACTAGAACCTCAGCAGGATACAGCATCTCACTTTTTTTTTTGGACTTTCTGGTTTTGAAGAGATTGTGTTTTATTGGGGAGCATTGGAAGACTGAGGGGGATGTCTACTCGCTAGGTGGTCTATTAGTTGTTTTTGTCGTCACCTAGAAGGCTGTTTGAATATTGTCGTTTCTAGTAACAGGATCTAAAAGATCTAAAAACAGGATTAGCTCAGAAGTATGGGAAGAAATATTCTCATATTTTGCTTTGGTTCCCTAGAAACATACTCTTTCTTCTGATTCTAGGTTGGAATTCAAGTGAATCAGTTGGTTCCAGCTAATCCAAACCCTCCTGCATGTCCCAGTCGCTCATCAGTCCAGCCCGGCCATTTTCCTGGTGGGTCACACTCTGTCCTCGATCTTTTCCAAGTTCAGAAAGCAAAGAAGCCCACAGGGGAAGAGCACAAGGAAGGTCAGTGGTGTCAGCGTGGTGTCATTTGGGTACTACTCGTACCCTTAGGAAGGCCCACATTTCAAAAGTTGTCTGGCACAGTTCTGTGTGAACTTTTAAGAAACAGACATTCTGAATTATGAACAGTAATAAAGTTTGTGGCTCAGAGTTCCTTCCAGTTGCCCACATGATCTAAAGAGGCTATTTTATGTATTTTCTATACTTTCAGTATTTCTGGCTGCAATGGATCTGGAAATATCATCTGCCTCTAGAACTTGCACTTTCTTGCCATCTTTTTCCACACACGTCACGTCAAGTATCAGCCCTGTTACTAGCAAAGCAGAGTCCTTGGGGAAATGGAACGGCCTGCATTCTCCCATCAGTTTAAAGTCAAGACTTAACCTGAGTATAGAGGTCCCTTCATCTTCCCAGGTATATTTCTATAATTCTACATATGATATAAATGCAGGAGTAGTTTTACAGTAGGAATGGGACACTTCTTTAACAGTGGGGCAGAAAGGGCGACTTGTTAGGGTGACTGATATTACTGAATTCCAAGTAAGAAATGAGCAGTTTAAGTGAAAGATTTGTGTTTCTGCAGAGATTTGCAACCCTTTTAAATTGTAAAATGTAGATGAAAGCCAGTTCCTTGAACTGCCACTTGTCACAGCCATTGTACCTCTTCATGATGGTGGTCACCTGCACTTTATTTGGCACACAGCTTTGCTGTTCATTAGAGGCCTGTGACAAAGGTTTTTTTTGCAACACGTGCATACAGTTCACTGTGGAGTGAATGACTTCCCTAATACAAACCATTCCTTTAGCTGAGGTGGGCTATCGATACGTGAAATGGTGTTGCAATCTTTACTGCTTGGAAGTGTAAGAGAACACTTTGAGCCAGGTTGGAAGTCTGTTTCTCTGCGGCACGAAGTAGGAGAAGGCTGAAGGATGTGTGTGTGCTGGCTGTGGACTAGGGAAAGGGGCAGCTGTGATGTGTGTGCCCTTGGCCCAGCTTGCTAGCGAGTTATTCAGAAGTAGTTGCTCCCATCAAGGTAAGAGTGGCCAGCCCAGCTTACGGGCTTACGTGCTTCCTACAGGCTTACGTGCTTCCTAAGGGATGTGCACCAATGGGCAGAGAGGGAGGACCTGGCCAAAGGACCAGGGGATTCTGGTACGCAGCTAGAGAAGTTAGCTTCTAGGACTCTTCTAGCTGGCTGCTCTCAGCCTAGAATTGTTTGGGGGGAATACAGTTTCCTGCCTGAAAGGCAAACTTCTGGCTCATAAGTTTGAGATACGTACCATAGCTGTTGGCCCCTGTCCTTCGACGGGGTCTGAGATTGGAGTTTGACAGAGGCTCTTCCTGTGTCTGCACCTCTTGCGGGAGATTGAGTGTATGTGGATTTACCAATCCAGTGGGACCGGCCAGTGTGCACACTTGTCATCTCCAGAATCCACACATTATTACTCAGGCTTTGATGACAGAGGTTCAGGAGGTGGCTTTCCAGGCCTAGTTCTCTGCACCTGTACCGTGTTCATTATCCAAGATGTTAAAATGGAAATGAAAGTGAAACATTAATTCTCCAAACACATCACCTCTGAGCATGGTGTAACTGCACACCCTATGTATGGTATTTTACAGCTCGATCAGTCTGTTTTAGAAGCACTTCCACCTGATCTCCGGGAACAAGTAGAGCAAGTTTGTGCTGTTCAGCAAGGAGAGCTGCATGGTGACAAAAAGAAAGAACCAGTAAATGGCTATAATACAGGAAATCTGCCACAGCCGGTTGGGACAGTTTTGTTACAAATACCAGAACCTCAAGAACCTAACAGTGACATGGGAATTAATGTAATAGCACTTCCAGCATTCTCACAGGTAAGTTCAATTGAGGGGCCTTCTGTCATAGTTTAGTCTGACCCACCCTACTCCAGCTCAGGGCATGTCTGATTTCTTGTTTTCCTTTACACCCAAATGCTCATTAGTCTATACCATGTCCACTGGGGGAGGAGAGGTTGACTTGTTTCCTCATCATCTGCAGGACAGACTGACAGAGCAGCCTCTCCTGAAGCAACCTAGGGCAGAGAAGAGGGAGGCTCTGGTATGTGGATGCCCACAGATTCTCCCCAGATGGAAGACATCCTGTTCCTTCATTTCACTGGCCAGACCACTCGGCTATACCCAAGTGACAGGCTGGGAATGCATAATCAGACACTAGGGACAGTAACACAATCTAAATCTGATGTTTAAAAAAAACATTACATATGATCCTGTTTTCTTGTGTTCTGCTTCTGTTTCTTTGTGCTGCTTGCCTTGGTGGTTTGTTTTTTTTTAAATTGCAGTTCATACTCGGAACTTAATTCCTTATTCTCATCCTAAAACCCCATAAGGATTTAATAAGCCTTGATATTGAGGATCTTGTAAAAATTTATACAGATCAGAAAAGTATAATTTCAAAACAAAATCTATTTTGTGAAAAGTGTAAACCAGCTGCCATATGGAATCAACTTAGGTTTGACTTTGAAACTTTTCTCCACTAGGTGGACCCTGAGGTGTTTGCTGCTCTTCCTGCTGAGCTTCAGAAGGAGCTAAGAGCAGCATATGATCAAAGACAGAGGCAGGGAGAGAATGCTGTGCACCAGCAGCCAGCCAGCACAGCCGGTAAGCCTGGAAAGTGATGTTTAACAAAACGGCCATGAGAGATGGAGTCATTGTATATGATTATTGTCTGTAATGGCCAAAATCTGAGCTCTTAGTCATGTTAAGAGCTCTTCATATTGGGAGACTAGAACAAGTATACAACACAGAACGTGTTAATAGTCCTAGTTAGAGTTGTTTCTGTAACCGCTTGACTTAACACCATTCTTGGCTTTTTTTAAATAGCCCTTTAAAAAAAAAGCCTGAATATGATATTTCCAGAAATCTTTTTGAACACTTGTCAAGCCTGTTGTCCTTCTTTGAAATTGATACTTCAAAGGATGTAGTTTTAAAACACAGAATGAGAAGGCTTAAACAGGGTAGTGCCTGATGAGCTATTTATACTTCCCCTGCTGAGTTTTCATTTAATCATGTGAGCACCCCATTATAGGTAAGCAGTGTTTCAAAGGAAAGATGAGAAAGTGGCAGAGCAGAGGTGACTAATTGTAGAGCCTGCACTCTCAGCCATTGTCTGACAAGAAGCCTTGCTGGGATGTGTGCAGGGGTTGGATTTGCGGGGAGGAGAACCCATCCTACTGTCCAAACACATTGGTTGAAGACCTTACGTTCTCCATCTTTTAGTGCCAAAGAATCCGTTACTTCAGCTAAAACCAGCAGCAGTGAAAGAAAAGAAACGAAACAAAAAAAATCCCATCAGTCCCCATAAAAAGGTTCAGAGCCCTTTGAAAAACAAACTACTTAATAGTCCTGCAAAAACCATGCCAGGGGCCGGTGGGAGTCCCCAGAAGTTAATCGATGGGTTTCTGAAACACGAAGGTCCTGCTCCTGAAAAACCTCTGGTAATATTTCTTTGTTTTTAAACTTGGACCTTTTATTGAATCTTAAGGTACTTGACATTATGTAAATATAGCACTTTTTATCATTTGTTTTCTTAACAGGGAGAACTCTCCGCTTCTGCTTCAGGTATGCCAGGCCTTTCTGGCTGTGTCAGACCCCCGGCACCCAACCTAGCAGGAGCTGTTGAGTTCAGTGATGTGAAGACACTGCTCAGAGAGTGGATAACCACCATTTCAGGTTGGCTTGGGTGGGACAGGTAGCCGAAAACTAGATGTGTAATGAAGAGTTTGGTGATTCCAAAACATGAACAGGCTCGACTACCTAGGTGGAGCTCATTTTTCTAAATCTTAAACCAGCCAACCCTTAACCTTTTAACCTTCAGGGCTGGCTGTGGAAATATCCTTCATAACCCATTTGTTTGTGTTGTGGAAGAGCAGTTTCCTTTCTTACAGATGAGCTGATTCTCATTTGAGATTTTTCCCCTCTTTAGATCCAATGGAAGAAGACATTTTGCAAGTTGTGAAATACTGCACTGACCTTATAGAGGAGAAAGATTTGGAAAAACTGGATCTCGTTATAAAATACATGAAAAGGTAATTAATACTTCTATCAGAAGGGAAAAATGGCATGTCAGAAGGGCTAGCTGAGGAGGCGAGACTCTCCGGTTTTGTAGTTTGAGTCAGTTGCCTTAACAGTACTCTATAGAGTTAATGAAGAAGGGGTGCCCTTTATTTTGCATCCCAGAGAAAGGAATGCCATAATATTGACTGGATGAAATGAATAGGGTCAAAATGAGCTAGTTTCCCTGAACCCTTAAATCCTAAAAATACTATATTGATTCTTGAAAAAGGAATTACTGGTCTTTCCTGATGTTTGTTTCTCCACCTTTAGGTTGATGCAACAGTCGGTGGAATCGGTTTGGAATATGGCATTTGACTTTATTCTTGACAATGTTCAGGTAGTTTTACAACAGACTTATGGGAGCACATTAAAAGTGACATAAATGAGCGGGAGCCTAGTGTTCGCCGCTGGCTGTGCCATAAGTGCTTGTGAGGTATTTGCAAAGTGCATGATAGTAATGCTCTGAGTTTTTATAATTTCAAATTTCTTTTTGAGCAAGTGTTTTGTACATTTCTTTTCAATAAGTGCCAAATTTGTCAGTATTGCATGTAAATAATTGTGTTCTTTTATTGTAGTATAGAATCTATTTACAAAATGTTTGTTTATAAAGTTTTATGGATTTTTACAGTGAAGTGTTTACAGTTGTTTAATAAAGAACTATATGTATATTTTGTACAGGTTCCTTTTTGTGAATCCTTTAGGAAACAAATCCTGAACTGTTTAATATACTACAGGCTGAAAAACCTCCAGGCTAGACTTAAGAGACTTGGTGCTAAGCTTTGTTATTTCTGAGGTGCCAAGAGTGGGTTCTACTAACAAAAGCAAGAGTAATAAAGCTTCTTAACAATCTTATCAGTCATATCTCCAAGCATGAACACAGGAGCATGTTAAGAAAATCTTTACTTCTTCCAAGTGGAGGAATTTACATATTTTGAATTAGAACACACAATTAACGATCAAGTTTTTCCTGGGAAAATTATGTCCTACAGATGGTTTAGAGGTGTTTTCTTTGCCTCTGTTGCCCTTAAGAAACTTCAATAATGAAGACTGGTACAGATTTTCAAATGTATATAAAGTATTTTTATGTGTTATGCCATACAATTTAAAAATATAATTCTACACCAGTGAGTACTTGGAAACGTTTTCTTCAAACACCCCACACTGACTTCGTTCAACACTGCTATAAATAGGTAGTAAGATCTTCAACATCTATTATAAGAATTAATGTCACACTAAAAGATTTCTTAACATTGGGGAAGAGAGTATATCCCCATGTGGACCCACTTTCCACATTTTTTTCAAGAAAACCATAAAACTAGCTATAATCAGGTTACTAATATGAATAAAATCACTAACGTCTCTGCGACAATTTAGAAGCACTAAGCCCAAATCGTTATCAATGCCCTGTTGATTGTCTCATCAGAAAATGTATCCATGGTAGATTTTCTAGGATAAAGTAGGCCAAGATTGATGTATAAAAATTCCTAATGATAACATGTGCTGGTACACAGGGAAGGACAGTTAAAATAGTTCCTGTCCTTAAAACAAAGAGCTGGTGACTCATGGGAGAGAAGCTACGCTAACACGGAGGCCTAACAGCTTTCTGGTGAATGTGTTTTCTTTATTGGTAGTTCAGAATTGTGCTGATTACAGTGGACTCTCATGACTAGACAAGCAGTAAATAGCAGCCAGCTACACTTTACACCATGGTTTCACACAAAGCAGATAAATACCAGAATGCCTAATTTTCTATTTTAAAAAATTCCTAAGGACACATGGCAGAATAATGCTGCAGAAAAAAAAAATGTGGGAAAGAGATGCATAAATAAAGTATTTCTTACATCAAAAAAGTCTCAAGAATCACAAAATCTGCAGAAGCTTGGTTAATCAAATACTGCAGTACTGATTTAATCAGTATAAAATCGAAAGAGCTTTTAGATCTGTAATAAAAATCCAAATTTGGGGAAGGGCAAACTTTAAAACAGCAGCCAGTAGAGAGGGGTTGGGAAGGAGCGGGCAAGTAGACAGGCACATTGGAACTGTGGGGACATGTATTCGACCACTGTCAAACCAGTGTAAGTTTCTTGGTTTCTCATGGAAAACATTTTATACATCTATTTTTTTCCTTCCATCCTTAAGTGCATCAGTGTCCATATACGTCCATTCCATTTTTTAATCTTGTTTTTCTTGCATTACTCTAATTCTTGCCCCATGTGGAAAAACTAGATGATTTCGAAGACTTTCTTCAGCTCCACAATAAGCTGCCAGTCACTCTTCTGCATTTCGTCTCTGAACCAGTCTTTGAGAGCGTCGATGGACTGCCGGCTGATCTGCAGGGGCGAGGCACAAACAGGGCAGACAGAACAGAGTGTAACCAACAGTGCCAGAAAAGCAGGTGGCCCCACACTGTGTCACCAGACGCTGATCATTACAGAGAATGTAAGGTCTTTGACCCTACAGCTGCTGGGCGAGTATGGCAGAAGGGGACCTAGAGGTCCTGGCAGGCGCTGGCTGGGAGGAGCACTTGCCACACTACAGATCGAGCCCGATGAAGGATCCGCTCCTATCAGAATTAGTGAAGGTAATCAGCACAGCTGACTCACCCCCCTTCTTCAAAGGTGCCACTTTGGTGGAGAAATTTACCTTACTGACAAGAATGTCTGTAGCTTCAAAATGTCTTCCGTACATTTTGGGAGATTCACCAGGGATAGGTTCTATTTTGACACAGACTTCTTGTCCCTTTTTTGCAACATCCACTTGTTTATGGTTTATTTCAATACTTGTTACTATTCCAATGTCAACAAACTGTAAAATAACAAACCACAATGTAAGCAGAGGAATCCTGCCAGCCCCAGGCACCCTAGAGCTGGAGAGCTGAGGAAAAAATGTTTTTTGAGCAGAAGAGCCAGTTTCAAAGCCTTGGCTCTGTGGCCCTCCATGATCAGTTTGCCTCCACAGTGGAATTTCCTCACTGATACACTAGGGATGAACCAGCACGCATTCTCTCTGTACTTTCACGAGATGGCTGTTAAGGACATGCTTTGGGAAACTTGCAAAGTGTTGTCAATCCAATGTAGTTTTCTATTTTTGTTGCACTCTTCACATGACACGTGCCATACAAAAGGAACAGCAGGCACAAATGTTCTGAATGAAGAATGAGCTCGGAGTGGTTGGTGTGATGAGTAAGGCAGGGCAGGGCGGGGGGGCGGGCAGTGAGGAGCAGGGGATGGATAGAGGCAGACAAGGCCTTGGAGGTCCTGGTAAGAACTTTTCATTTCATTCTGACCATGAGACTTTTGAACAACCTATTCTCAGTTATAGTTTGGGGCTGCGAGAGCACCCTTTGCTGCCTGCCTTGGGAAGAGATACTGGAGGCTGAGTGAAAACAGTTGGACCAAAGTTCAACCAAAGTTGGACCAAAGATAATTACTGCAAGTAAATGCCCTAGCACAGGCCACTGAAACGGTATAGAAACGATGACTCCTAAATGCCATGGCCCACTAAAGGGATCAGGTCTGCAGCAGGAAAAATACTAGATGAGTCTGCGGCATCTTACTCAACTAGAAAGAAAGAAGATGTTCAAAGTGCACTTGGCTCCCACAGACCAAACTGGGTAATCTGGCCATCAAAAGTACTGGTAATTAAAACATCAAATTTTTAAAAATTGAACTGAGTGTACAGATATTTAATGAAAAGATCAAGGGGACGAGGATACGCTTGTGGTGATAACGGCTGATAAACAGGACTTTCATAGGAACTCAAAGTATCCCCTAGATCAGTTAGTAATTACACCAAGGAAAAACTGGTCTCCAATGGAGATGTGTAGCTGACATCACTCCTTCCCCACAAATCAAAGTGTCATGGACAACAAGATGGCCTGTGTGAAATGCAGGAGGCACACGGGAGCCCTTCTATTTACTCATGAGGAAACAATCAGACAAATTCAAGCTGAGCAGTATCTGAGAAACAGTGATCCAGACTCTTGGAAAAGGATGGGGATGGGGACTGGTCCTGGTTGAAACCAAAACACGTCGCAGCCAAAGGCAGTTCAGCTTGAAACGATCCTGGACCAGGTCGGCAAATGGAATTACTACAGACATTTTAGGGACAGTTAATGAAATGTGAATGAGGACTGTAAATTGCAATTTTCATTAACTGAAGAACTGGTATCAGGTGCTAATAAGAGTAAGGAATGCTGACATTTAGCAAAACAGGTATAAATTACCTAAGATGACAGACAAGCTCTGCTTGGTTTGAGTTTGTGTTTTTTGGGTTTTTTTTTTTTTTTGCCACCATTCTTAAGACTCCCATTTACTGCTTTAAGAGATAGCACATTGTTTTTAAAGTACAACTGGCACTTACATTTTTGCTAGGGACGCACATGGGGGTTCCCTGTTTGACTTGACCTGCTTCCACAGTCACGCCAATCACTATTGGATCTCGAGAATTGAAAATATACTGAGGAAGGATTTTCATCTTGCAGGGAAATACTGCTATGTGCCTATAAAGGAAAAAAAAAGCAAGAATTTGTAAGCGTACAAGAGTCATTTAAACGTAAGAACATACACAGGTGAACATGAGCCTTCTTCTATCAGATGAAGTAGCTTATCTCAGCAGGGCCACTGCACCTGCCCACAGTGGTGGGTGCTACAGGCCATGGCCACCTTCTGTAGCTTCATTCTCTCATCCTCTCCCTCCCTGTCCATCTGGGTGCTCTCACAGTCTCACAGGGGCTGAGTCATAGGAGCATTTGGTGCCCAGACTAAAGGACTTGAGCCCTGCCCCTCAAGATGGAGCTCAGGAACTTACAACCTCAGCGGGACCTACTTTCAAGTGTGGCATGTGAGACATGGTAGACTATTCTGGGGACCACATGGGCATCAAACCACATCCTTCTTTTCTCAACCATGTTCCCAAATCAGTTGATCTGAAAAAAGTCCACACTATTTCCCTACTTACCAATCATGCTTAAAGTGCTTTCATAGCTTCTAGCAGTCTTCTTAATCAAATTTAAGTTTTCTCACGTTACATTTATGATCTAAAGTGAGCATGTCTCAACCTGAGCCCTAATACTTAGCAGTCAGTCACACTTGAGAATATATCCCACAATGAGCCACCACCACTATGGTTACCCTGCACGGAGCCATCACGGTGCTGGACCTGGACTATGGGGGCCCCTGATGTTCCCTCATTACTAACTCCAAAATCCCATGGCTACTGGGTCCTACTGACTGAATCATCTCCTATCGCTCTTCCCCAAGGGTCACTATGAGGACTGCCTCCTAGGGCTGTCCTGCCTTGACACTCCTGTGTCTCAGCGGCTCATTTCATTCCCTTCACATCTCAGAGATGAGGTTCCTCCCCAAACCACACCACTAACCACAGCTCTCTCCTCATCCGGGTCCACCCTTGGTTTTTTTTTTTTTTTTGCTTTTTAT